GCATAATTAAAGTATCACCTAATTTGGTAAACAAAATGACAGGTCAACATTTTACACCTTTCTGACGTGACCGCTGCAGCAAACAATTTAATGGATAATTGATGTCTCCGAATCACGAACGTTCCTCGCTCGGAATCAATATTTAATGCCCCATTTCCTGTTATAGCCGCGTCCAACTTAAATCGGATCGCGCGACTTGAATATCTGGTTATGGAAATTCACTTCAAATTGTGTATTCCGTTTAACAATTTATGATTTATCGCCTTATTGAAATTCGAAAGATTTCGTCGCCATCGCCACCTTTGGATCTGTCTAGTGAATAACAGCGGTATCGTGAACCAAGGACGTGATAAACGATTACCTTATACGTTTACTAGAAATTTATTTCCCAAGTGCGCCAATGATAATGCTGCAAAGCGTACGATTGTGCTAATTTGCCGTGTATCATGGTCGACCGCCTCCTTATCGTTGTACATTTAAGTGGGCAAATAAAGTCGTTCATATGTAAACGCGAGTCGGCCACGACAGACTAATGAATCCCGCGACATTACTGAACTAGAGGCTGCGTAATGGCCTCATTCCAAACGCACTAATTCATTCTACGACACGGCGGCGGCGGCGGCGTTCGGTTTTCCTTTTTTTTTAATCGACCGCATGTTTCTCGCAATCGACAGTTTAATGTTGTTGTTTTTTTTTGTTTCGTACCGCAAAAAAAGCTGAACTGATTCGATGAGTTTGCAAATAGTTTTTGTCTTTTTTATTTTCAATTAACCGTCGTGGCGTAAACATTTCCGGTTTACCCTGAAAACTGAATCAATACTCGGCTGCAGATTGGTTTATGGAATTGGTCCAACTCGAAAGATTCAAAATATAAATATTTGGAACGCTATCAATTCTATTTATTCCACGAATTATCGATATCGCCGGCACAGTTGCGCTATTCGCCCGATTACTTACATATGTGTTTGTGTCGTGTTGGCACTTGGCAGATATCGGCCATGCGTCGCAACGTGATCCGAGTGATTTATCAACAGTATTTCATTTAGTTAATTATATAGCTGATAAGACGGTGCGTTGAACGGGCGTACTTGATGGTATTTAAATGTATTTGCTCTTAAGACCCACATCTGTATACCTACTCGAGCAACGCTCTTTCAAATCCCAGTACCGGAACTAATGATATTGTTAATTTCATTTTGAAGTCCTGCTTTGCCACGTGCTCTACAATGAGTGAAAATATCCTGAGGAAATTCGAAACATTAAAAACAAATCTCATGGTGGACTATGCCCGATGACCCTCTACCTAGAGGATATAACATTTTAACCTGTATTGACTAACCTTGAGTATTGAAAATAAAATAGGGAAAAAACTCTCCACATTCCATTTTATCTTAATAGTTCTAAGAGGTCAAACGCGCTGCCAAAGTTTTTTAGGACAACCACACATTACACGTCGTAATGACGAATCGTTTTAATATTTCTAATGAACCATCGAACTGTATTTGCATACATTATTTTTGTATCAAACGGTTAAATACTTCTTTTGTCCACTACATCCACAGACGGACGTCGAAAAAGAACGATGCCGTTTGGATATCATGATATATTAAACATGAGTCATGATTCATGTTTAATATTTCACATCTTTTATCCATCCATCATCGAAATTTAGCCTTATAGACATATATAATATATACATAGACATAGAGGCTATGAATACCGGGAGGAGGTAAGTCAACGCATTCGACCTCATTCCCGAGACTGGCTCTGCGTAAACTCTCATATTTGGCTTATGAAAACATGTCTATTTTTAATCTACAATATTTAGCAACACCGCCGCGCCGTATTATTCGTATGTTTAACAACGTGTTTGTCAAGCGCAGCCTGGTTTTCAATCATCGTCCCCGCTCTTCCTTATTTACAATAACGCATTAGCTAAATTATATGAACACTTTTTGACATAACTTCAGCGATATATTTAAATCGCCGGTTACATTTTGTCAAATCAACCACCAAATCATGTGCTGAATTACCCAACTCCTGAATCAATTTAATTGACTTGTTGAATTCGATAAGCTAAGTATATTTATTTATGAATCATTGAAGATTTTATTTTTATTTATCTAATCTTTATTGCCAACCTTCAGTAAAACAAGGTAACAAAGGGCGGACTTAATGCCAAGATGACATTTTTTAAATTAAAATAACATCAGGGTTGAAATGAATCGACTCTCTCGGGTGGTTTTTTCCTAAAGAAATCCTAAATTCATTAATAAAAGTTATACCTCCAATCTGATCATATAAAACATAAATTTTATGACCCGATTGGCCAAGCAGATAGTGAAACTGCAAAACTACGACAGAGGGTGTAGGTTTGATGCCCAATACTGGAATAGTTTTGTTTGATGTACATAGTGTTTTCCCGTGTTTGATTATTTATGTTATTTTATTTATGTATATGTATTAATTTACGAAAGAAAATGAAGTTTAAGTGCATGTATCAGTTAGTACTTATAGTACAAGCTTTATGTAGTTTCGAATTAGACTACTTGTGTAAAAATTGACTACAATTTTTTTTGAACTTTCGAAGTATCCATCAATAAATAATATATTTTGCTAACGTTGTGACTGGCGAAACCAAATAAAAAAGTCCAAACGTCACAGCTGGAGCACGTCAAAGCACGCTCCCGCCTAATCATTATATTTTCCCGCGATCCGGCGCAAACGTATCGCGCTCATCGATTTCTTACGCGTACATTCCGGCGAACGAGAAATTGGTCCGACATATCAACCGCGTGGAATATCGGGCAACGCACGCGGTCGAGTGCCCATTTCTCAGGTTCAGACCAGTTCCGCGGACTGGTCGGGCCGCATGCCGATCAAGAAAGGTGCTGGCGCGGTGCCTTAGAGGGCGGAATAGCATTTTTTTTTCGCTCGCCCCCCTCGCTCGACTATGTTGTCGGATGTTAGTCCGCGCTCGTGAAAACGTGGGGCCTACAAACGAAAAGTTTTAATCGAATTTCTAAATGGTGCTGCGTGTACACTTTGATGAAGCTCTTTCGACGATGAATTTGCTTAAGATCCGTTTTTGTATGTTGCAGTTTAAATGTAAGAGAACTCGTATACAATTGAAATTTTGAATTACTAAAAGAAATAATATGCCATGTAACTGCTAAGAGACGCTAACCTAGTTAGCTAAATTAACGAAACTATACTAAAGTTTGTAGATAAAATAACCGTTGCTAGGAGGAAGAATGAAAAGACAAAACAAATAATAAAAAAATTGCGACATTACATATTTTAAGTTTCATTTTAAGTGCAGGTGCTAGCACCAAAAAATAACTATGAACTAAACCAATTTTGGAAAAAGTTTTCTTAAAAAGGCATAGAAGGCCACAATTAATACACAATTATAAATACAATAAATAAGGTTAACTTAATAAATAATCAGAGTACGGGGTATTTTTAACGCCGCATTACGACATTTCACAACGATTGACAGGTGATTATGCTAAACAGCAAACGGTTGCCGCACGCTATTATGTGAATATGTTCCTATTGCATAAGTTATAGAACCGGTCCCATAAAATGTCAGATGTACCATACAAGCTATTAATAACCAGCTGTTTCTCAGTGTACGCCCACACTGCACTTATGGATACCATGTTTTCCAAATGAATTAATTATACATCTCGCAAAACCACCTTCCCAATTCGGTCGACGTTTTATGAGACACCGACAAAAACAGTTAATGACTGTGCCGACTGGAAAACTGTACGGCAACTGTTGGCATTTGATACCATTATATGAACAATTTATTCACGAGATTAGAATTGTTTTATTGTTTGTGTGTATCAATTTTATCCCAATATAATTTTAATAAAATAACGAACTCAAAACGCGACAGTCAATGTTTAAAGATGTCTACGTAATTATTGTAGCTAAAGAGCAAACAAAGAACTTCAACTGTATAAATATTAATGTCTATTATAGTGATTATTAATATATTACTGTACAAAAGGGAAACAGATGTGTATAACTCATAGCAATTTATGCTATGCTACTATGCGAAAATAATTTATACTAACGAATGAAACAATTATCAGGTACGCACGATCTATACGTAAAGAGGGGTTGATACAATATTGGAATCACTAGCCCACGTTGCGCTTATTAACCGTGCAATTCATGGTTTGCTGAGTCGCCAGCTGCCGTCACCGCTGACCCGACGATGCGGGCAAATAAAACCATTCGTAGATATCAAACGATACCACTCTGCCCACCTGTCCCCGTTGCCAACTTGACGAGAAAAAAATATATACAACTGACGATGAAAAATGTCGACTCGCAAAGCAGCTTTGCATCGAGATAAGGCGCCCATTAAAGAACTGGTATCGTTGTCGACAGATTGGCACCGTGCACTTTAATTGCAATGCAGTGTACAATAAATGGACGCGGTGTTAACTTTCTAAATGGCAAGCTGCGAGCTTGCGTAATATGAAGCGCGGGCCAAATTCAATTGGCTGCTATCGTTTATGGTTCTGAAATCTGACAGACAAGTTTTAACAGAATAGTTTCCATTGTTACCAAAGTACACTTCGACCTCAATTTGCTTAAATAATCTAAAAATGTTTCGTATTCATTATCGAATGCAAAAGAGAATAAGACGATAGATGGTAAACATTAAAAATAAAACTCTCTTCTGTTCAATGAATTAAGGCTAAATAAATATAAAGTTATATAATGATTTCCGTATAATTAAAAGTTTGTTTTTAATTAACGTTTCTACTCCAAAAAACTGATCTTCTAGATTCGAATATATTCGTAATTTTTTAAGCGCCTAAAGATATTACATATTTCAATTAATAATTTATAAAATTAAATATTCCATGTCTACATTTGTTTCAAACAGTAACATTCTTTTTATATAAACGAGTCATATTCTTACGTTGTCATATTATTTCTCGCTTTGAAATAACAAAGTTCATATATTGTTCCAGGCCCGTCGCAAGAGCTCGAGCCGATCGAGATCAACAAAAAAGGTAAAATGCTTTTACATTCCCATTGGCCATTCAAGACTAAATAATTCAATGGACATACATTGATCATGTTATACGTTGGAATGATTTTAATACCAAATGACCGGTGAACGGTTGCCGTCACAATGACACAACCGTTTTATTTTCCTAAGTCTATCATTTGGATTTGAGGGTTCTCAAGATGTTATATAATTTTTTAAAGGTAAAAAAATTATCAATACAAAATATAAATCTATATATAGAACTCATAAGATTTCGTTTACCATGCAGTTCAGATTTCATTTACCAAATAATATTATAATCAATTAACAAATAATATATCAGTTACCCATTCGCTAACATAATCCATAAAATGTTTTTAATGTACCGGTATATTTATTTAACACGATTTCAAACTTACTAAAGATGTTTATACAATATCTTATCACGATACAATTGTTTAAAAGTAACATGAAAGTGCTAATGGAAAATTAGAAATAACAGTAAACGATCCATATCTACTTTTAAATTTGAAATTTCGATTTAAATAATATCATACATTCGATACAATTTAAAACCTTTGCCACAGGCTTCGTAATTGCGTACAGCGTAGGGATCTTTAACTCGTTTAAAAACGAAATCAGCTCCCGCATCAAGTATTCTCCGATCTTAAATTCAAATCAATATTTTTGTTTGTCGAACGTCAATCTGCGTATGTATGGGCCTCGTTTATACTTCACACTATTCGCGCTTTGAACAGCAGAGGTCACCGCGGACGGCGAGCGCATTTGTTATTTTCATTACACGATCTAAATTTCAATTCGGCACCCGAGTAACGGGGTCAGAGCGTTTTCGATAAATATATCTACATAGGTAATGCTTTGTTCTTACCAAAGAACGTGATAGAGGGGAGATTGTTCTAAACGCATCAGTTATGAAGCATCGACCTACCATCGTCATTTGGATTAATTATGGTTCTTTATCATAACCGTAATCTATTTACAATCGCGCAGATAGCTTTTTTCGCATTACACTATAATTCTTCTAATCATCTTTTTGGTACATTTATTTAAATTAATCCTTCTAATCGTTTCCTAGTACTGTTACAAAAATAGCTCCTTAATCTAATCGTAATTAGCTCCTTTATTATTTTTATCGAATTGTTGTTAGTAAGTAGTTAATGTTTATACAGTTTACGGATACGCTACCAAAGCGGCAAATCGCGCTGAACGACGGCGTGCGTCATCTCGAAAAACGTATATTCAAAAACATAGCTATAATTAAATGAATATTCATGCCGCGAAACGCCCCGAAACAATTTTATAGCAGCGCTGTATGGAGAACCGGTCTCTCCATTTTTTTTTTGTCCATGTTGTTGAACCTCCGCGTTCGTGCGCTGAGGCAATTACGACTGTTACAGACTGGAGTTTACGATACAATATGTATTTATGGACACCTGCTTATTATTACGTTAGACGAGTTCCACAATGATTAATGTGTAAGCAGCGGATAATGGTGTGCGTCTTTGGATGGACAAGCAGTCCAAATAGCCGGATAATTCTTTTAAATCGTCTACTGTTTTACACTGTGTGATCGACTTAGAATGAGTTTTAATTAGTCCACCGTAGCTGCACTACGGTGGACTACTCTCTCAACAGATTTTATAATTCCTGCACGATCCGTTCAGTTTTACAATTCCTACATATTCTTTGTTTGTTTTTACCAGATGAAAATACATTACTTAAAGCCGTATCTTAAAATATTTTATTACCATATTTATTATTTGGATCCGCTTTATTATTAATAGAAATGACGAAATAATCAATAAAGCGATAAAACGCAGAGACGATCATTATATGTTTATTAAATTAAACACTGTGTATCTTATAACAAATGTTATAGGTCGCCACAGTTTACTGGCGTTGCGATATGACTTTTATAATGATGACTGCAATACGGTTTAGTTCTAATTTTGTCTTTATTAATGTTTATTTAATTGTATCAATATGTACTCCACCTAATAACTAATTAATAAATGGAAAGTGAACGATTAATGAAACTCGCTCGGAACGCAAACGGAAACTTTCATCTCAGCATTGACATTGACGCGCACTGAGAGCACGGGCGCAGACTTGCGGAACACAATGGACGGCTAACAATGCCGCTCTAACCCGGGGCAGGTCAAACGAACGGGTCCGACGAACGAGCCCGAGCAAGAAAGTCGCCCGGTGAAAGTACCGAAGACCGGGGCCCAATCCGCTCCACGGATAACACAAAACACATTTCGTAACGTAACTCGCAACTCGCAACGGAACCGGTTCTATTCCGTCGACGACGTCTCGCGCGTTGATATTTTTATTATTACCTACCATTATACCAAGCGCTTCGGAATAATAATAATAATACGTAATGCCGGTTTTGTAATGCTTACCTGACTGACGTCCCTTTTGTTGGTGGCCTCGTTTTTTTTTTTTTTAAGATTCGGATCGCTATAATAAATTTATAAATTTGTTGCATCCTTCTTTTGAGCGACTGTTGTTTCTTATACCTGCTGGTCCTTTTGTTCCATTTTGATGTGGTTTTTTTTTCTTGTGAACGACAATATTTTTGCTAAGCTTGTATCTTTCTTTTCTTATTATAGAGCTAGAGATGGAAGGCAATAAATTTTACTCAGAATCGATTTTTTGGTGCCAATAAGCAAAAAGCTGTATAATGTTTGACAAAAGTACTTTCAAAAATTTCAATTTACAAAGTGATTACACAATAATTTCTATTTTTGTCGACCGTCACGATTCTAATTTTAAATTCGCTCAACCCGCGGACTCAGGACGGGTTTTTTTTTATGATTCGCGAATAAATTTAAGTCACAAGAAACGAAATTCCGGTTATCGCTAACGATTTCGCGAGTCGCAAAGCGAACAGGCAGCAAAAGGTGGCTTGGTAGCGGCCATACCGTTATAATTGGCAGCCTCTCGCACTCGTTTGCCACCAGAGAGTGGCCTGGCGATTGCCTTTATTGCATTAATGAGCCCGCATATTGAAAGTTCATTGCCCTACAGACGGATCTAACGTTGCCATTTACTCACAATCGCCCGTAAATGTTCTCCAGAGTGTCCACGGTCCGTATGTACTGCAAAACAACTTTCATCCAATAGATTTATTGTATTCGATAAAGCATTTACGCTTGCCTGCCATTCGTATTATGTTGGAATAACATGTGATATCAATTGTTAGGGTGTACAAAATAAAATTAGGGTACATCCGTCGTGTAGAATTAACAAAATCAAGGTAATAATTTCTACGTAACGACCCTATCTGCACTCGACTACCTTATCTACCTGTACCTATCGATTTTTTATCGATACTATCTTGTCGTGACTATAGTTTGTTGGTTTTGAGTATTTTTTATCTGTTGTGTATAGATAAATGTGCCTACTTGTATATTTATCTTTATTTTTATCTAACCCTATCGAGTTGATAAGATTACTTTATTGCTGTTAGAGTTTAGTGTGAATACGGCTTAATGTGAGTGATTTTCCATGTGAGTGTTATTATAAACATCCATTGTGAGACCTGTCAATTTAATCAAATGTAAATGACAACCAAGGGATTAAATACAATCAGAGTTACCACCCAAGTTATTGTGTATTATTGTTTCGTAATTTGCTGTTCAATGTTCTAAAAGCATTTTTACATGTATTACGTGAGAGATTCACCCAATAAAAACGTTAAAATGCGTTGATGGTCAATGCTATACCTGAAGCACTATCCGTACTACCAAACACAATAAAAACAAAAATAAACACAATAGTTCGCCCTCGCCTCCGAGCACGGCGAGACCAACACAACGCGTACACAAGGTACACCCGCGTTCCAGGGCGATTCTCACCGTCCTCAGCCACCGATTAGCTGAAAACACAGTCGACGGCCATCGGGGTCCTGGTCCGAACCGCAACCTCGATGGCCCTTAGATGACACACCATAGTTAAACGCACGTATGAGCACATGGCAACTAAAAAATTACTCATAATATAAAATAACTAACTCTAATCAGAATTTAAATTTTGCTAAAATCACGCGGCGAAATTCACATAGCCTGATGCCGCTCGGCGGCGTAAAGGTTAATTGTTTTCCACTCATTACATTTTTCGCATTGTTCTCGGCTAACTGTACACTACACGGTACAATGAGTAATTGTTGTGTTTCCTCGGAATCGAGCTCCTAACGAAGCATAATAATTTTATTTACGATGCCGCCGCGAACCACTTCGTGTTTGTAAAGTATCTCGGTCCGATATACAAACCTATTTGAACGAATCTTAATTGGCAATGTTTCTTGCGTAGAAAGTGAGATGGTACGTTTCACAGAAGAACGGCGGGAAATAAATGTATTTGAACTTTTGGCTCGGTGACGTGTCTGCAGTCTCCTGTAAAGGAGTGTCCATGGGCGGCGGCTCTTATATACCTTCAAGTTAAAAAAAATATTAAGTATAGCCACTTAGTTTCTTATAGGTTGAAACCTATCAAGTAAAGTAAAGTAACAGCCTATACATGTCCCACTGCTGGGCAAAGGCCTCCTCTATACAGAGGGTATCATGGCATAGTCCACCACGCGGCCCCACTGCGGATTGGCGGACTTCTATTATAATTTCTATTATAACTTCTATTATATTGCGGACTAAATATAATATTTTTTGTTATTATTTCGAAAATATGCAGATTTCCTCACGATGTTTTCCTTCACCGTGGAGCACGTGATAAGTCAGCACTTAAACTTAAAAACTTCATTGGTGCCGGGACCGGGGATCGAACTCAGGTTGCTCGAGTATATTGAATAAAAGGCGAGCGTCCGGACACTGAGCTATCACGGCTCCGGGGGCCTATCAAATCAAATCATATTTTGAATAAAACTGGACTGATCTGTCTATTCCTTGACCAAGAATGCTGTAAAGCATTCTAAAATTCAGGTGTTTTAAAATAAACCTAAGCCGCGATAGAATCCTTGATAAATAAGTTTAAAGACGTTTATTATTCGCGTAAATAAAACAAATCATCTTTGGTTGCAGAGATTTGGTAAATGAAGTTGTGCAATAAATATAAAGCAGATCACTTGCCAATACTTTACAAATGCACTCATACAAATATAACCGACTAGTTGTTTTCTCAAATACGAAGTAAATAATGAAGTAGAACAATAATAAAAGTAAAAGTAATGAAATACATTGAGTTTAAACTATTCTAATGCGAACAAATGCAATCTATAACTCAAAAGTAATCTTGGGGTATACTAATAATATCTTATTTTGTTTTTAAACTCGACTAATGCTATAAATAATGTCTTTGTAACAATAATATTAAGTTGTGCAATCCATGCGTCAAGCAATGATCGTTTTTGTTGATTAGTAATTATACAGGGAGGCTTTTCTAAGTGTATCCATTTTTTAAATTTAATTAAATTCTAGACCTAAATAATGGTAAATAAAAAAATGATAAATATTTTAAATCACTCGTAAGTAATTAATTACATTCATTTGAACTTATATCAAAAAGTGCGTGATTTATACGCAACTCATTTATTTTACGCGCGATCATTCATACTATTACGCACACAAGTTCGTTTGTGTGCGTGAACAGTAAAATTTAAGTATTTATGGATGACTACCGCGTTGTCAACAAGTTCTGTTTTTTAGGGATAGAATGGTAATTTTTTTGAAAAAAAAAAAAGTTTGTTTTAATTTCAATAAACGATTATACTACCGAGTCTGAACCTCCTGTGTAAATTTGGGCACCTTTAAAAAAGTCTCCTTGTATTTATGAAAGATACGCTATCACGTTTTTATTTTTGTAAGTTGTATAACATTTAATCTTTACATAATAAAGTTAATAATTACTAGATACTTCATATTATTGTGTATCAAATTTAAAATTTGATACCCGAAATTTTCAACTTTATAGGAAAGAATTTTTTTTAATCAGCTTATGTTTTGCTGTATCTGCAAATTAGTTCGTGACTTATCTCGACGCTCGTTCAAAACTTGAGCTGTACTATAAATAAGCAAATGCACGTGTTCCGTCGTACTGTAGCAATTAATAGGCAGCGCCATTCGGATAATATTGCGATGAGTCAAACTCTCTGTAATTGAAACAATAGAACAAAGTAGGCATGATGTATTGAACATTGAGCAAGCGGCTGTATAATGATCGTACGATAATGCCAGCTCGTGATTTGAATTGTGTTATATTATACATTCGACCCGCGGGGAAAACATCACTTATGTATTCCAATACGTAATCGGTAAAAACAACAAAGCGAACGATAAATCTGTTTGAGGAGTCGAATGGCTCACGCGTCCGTTTGCGTTACTCTGTTGTGATATGAAGCACACTTCTCTGTAATTGGTCTGTATCTTATTATTTTGCGTTACTTTTTAAAGTTTTACCGGTATTTTGTCCTACGTATGTTTTTGTATGTTGATATCTTTCTGTTCATCTCTATAGCGTAATATAGACTGACTTATAAATCTACCGTTGATTTCAAAGGTATGCATTTTACTTTCCCCTTTTATATGCCGGTAAATATAAAAGGGGAAAGTAAAATAACCGGAAAAACTTCAATTTGTAAGATAAAAGTCTAATTTACGTTTTTCTTATAATAATTCTCGTGTTTTTTTAAAAAAATATTTGAATATACATAGAATTAGACGATCTCATTGATTTAGAGGATAGTGAACCTGTCTCTTACTACATACAGTGTATGGTTCGATCCCCACCGTGGGAAAAATATTGTGTCATTAATTATTAACATGGTGTATACAGCGTGTCGTTACCATCGCGACAATAAATGAACACACGTCTAACGCTACTTGCCAATAATCATAAAAAAAATATTAACGTTAAACAAAATCCATGATTTAAAAAATATATTTTTCAAACAAACTAATTAAGTAAAAAAGAAACAAAATTTTTAACATCCTATACTACTCGCTCCACAGCGTCGCATTATAAGCCTCTCCTTCTAACAGTATGTTTTGTCTCTTTTAAATTCATTCAACACATTCATATGCATTGTGCCTTTACAAATGAACTTTACGTTACAGTTTTATACTTAAGGGTGTTCTAAAATTCTTTATTTTGGAAAATTTAATAACTCTGTAAATATTGATGTTTAAAGAATTTAAATTTAAGATTAATACAATTTTAAAACGTTTGCCCCTATAAGTGTGTTCATTTATTGTCGTGATTGTAAAGACACGCTGTATATGTCTTTATTTACAAAAATTATGTTAATCAGTTACCTATAGAACAAGCCTTTGAATATGTATATAATCAAAGGTACAAGCGATGCTTACTTTGGGACTAGATAATGTTGTTTAAAAATATGTCCTAAAATATTTATTATTTAAACTACACTAGTACTGCCTCTGACTACGTTAAAGTCATGGTCTAACAAAACATAATTCAACTTAGTCGTACGGAATGATGAAACAATTGAGTGCATTCATAGAGCCAATTAAACAAATTGATCATTCTTATCGTATAGAAGATCATTCTGATCAATTCGAAGGGATAAGCAATTTGACAGCTGATCATTCTACGATGATCAGTGTTTCAGAAACCGGGCGTAAGTGTCTACGGTGTCTGTGCCCGATACAGCTTTAAAAATACTTAAAAGGGCATGCAGTCACAATTAAATACGCGCTGCATATGACCATGCAAATGCAGCGTATATAAGTACGTATAAGATGACAATTTTGTAGAAAAATGGACAAAAAGTCCCCGCAGCCAGAATTGAAACCTAATCTTCCGGAATTGCGTCCAGACTACTAAGCTAAACGACTGTTTGCCCTGCCGTCGAACGGAGCCACCTGCGGCGAGCTGCGTTCGTCGGCCCCGCTTCCCGACCCTCGCCTAGCTTTTCTTGGGCTTGATGGGCCACTGTTGGCCTTAGGGGCCTTTACAGTTCCGACCGACTTGAGGAGGCCAGGCGCTCGGGGCGCCTAGCCTGAACCTCAGCGTATTATTATTACGCGTTATGGTGACTAAGCTCGAGGGCTCCCGAGGGAGCCTAGGCGTCACGCTTTTATTGATTTCACCGGCTTGGGAGGTCCCCAAGCTCTTAGGGCGTTTTGGCGGACGCTCCATGGAGTGACTAGGTTCAAGTACCCGTTTAGCATCCCGATTCGAAGGTGCCCGAGAGGGCCGGTCCTCAGCTCGATCGGTAGCTGTTATCTGGCCTTCACCAGCGTCTTATGTAACGTTTTTAACGCCAGCACCATTTCACCGCATCGCTTGCGCAATAATCGCATCGATGTGATTTGTACGACAGCGCAAAACGAGTATAACAGGCGTTGGAACAACTTGCGTGCCGTTAATTCTTAAAAGTATATAAACTTAAATCGTACTCACAAGAAAGCTTCGTTTGAGAGAAAATCTTGTAACTAGTTTTTGGATTAGCTATAACATTAGGACGTACGTAAAACGTCTACTTGTCGCGTGCCCGTGATCATGAAATTTGTAAACAATTAAGCGCGATAAAAAGCCGTAAATTGGAATTAATATTTTTTCTTCTCCGACAAAAACTCGTTTATCTTAAGAAATTAAAAAACGTTTCATCTTTCTTTAAATTATTCTTTAAATCTTAATGTTATATTAAGTTGGTATATTTTAATACACTTAAAGGTTTACTTCATATTTCATTCATATTACCTTTTAGGGTTCCGTACCCAAAGGGTTTAACTGGACCCTATTACTAAGACTCTGCTGTATGTCTGTCTGCCTTTCCGTCTGTCACCAGGCTGTATCTCATGAACCGTGGTAGTAAGACAGTTGAAACTTTAACATATGATGAAATGGGGCTCGCATACAAAAGATATGATTTTTTTTGCCGTTTTTATCGATAATGGTACGAAACTTCGTGCGCGAGTCCAACTCGCACTGGCCGGTTTTTATTTTACAAGATTAATTACTGCACAATACTAACATTACATAAAATCATATAATCATCAGCCCTGTTTCCAATGTAAAAAAGAAGTTGCAGATGTAACTTTTTAAAAAGAACCGTTGTATTTGTTTTTATGTTATCACTCGTTGACGTTAATTGTGCACGTATTTTAACGAGTGCAGAATTAACGGATTTACTTTTACGGATACCGTAGTTTATACATGAAGTAATTATGTATAAACTAAGGTATCCGGTTTTTGCATCGGGTATAAAATACTCGTATTTATGTTCCGTACCAAACCTCCGTGCAGATGAAACAAAAATTAACTGAGAGGTCTTTTTTTTCAGTTTTTTTCTTGCCGCAACGCGGTCAAGTGTTATTTAGAGATTTCAGTACAGATTAGAAAGTGATTAAAGTGGTTTCTACTCTATAACATTTCAACGTCAGACTTGACTTGTTATGCCATTGTTATATTAATCCATTAATTATTAACCTTAAGTTAGTACATTTTTTTAGTAAGACTATAAATAAATATTGATATTGTGGCAATAAAAAAAAACAATTGTCGATGAAAACGTTCACACGGTGGAATTCGCTGTGAGGCAAAAAAAATAAACCAAAGCACCAGCTGGTCATTGTGCCGCGACTGACGCCATACTGGTTTGGGTCTCGACTCTTGGTTCGATAAAATCGAATCGAACCATTCCACGAACAAGATGGCCGATCGATCGAGCGCGGCGTCACGAACCGCGCGAGCGCCCGCCTGCATACGACTACTTTCTCCTAACGGGACTCGCTCCCCTCCCTCCATGCCCTTCCCGCGCCCGCTGCCGTCTGCGCACACGATTTATCCACCACGATAACGAGATTATGCCGGCCGTGAAGTAATGTTTGGACTTCGTTATTATTATTACTTATGTTATTTTTTTTAAAACAAACCTTTCCAAAGCAGTGGGATTTAATGTGTAGATCGTCAATTCTCGTTGGTTAACGTCTTCGTTGTTTCTCACTCGAACTTTCAACATTTTGAAAACCTTTCATATAATATACTGTTTCAATATTGAAATAAAGATGGTCTTAAAGCTGTAAAAATTTCTGCCCAATCCTTGGCGCTACAATAATATTTTAGCTTATAAAGATATGTAACTACTAAACGTTTTTATATAAAAATTCAATTCTACTAAATTTAAAATTTTATAAAATATATTTATAAATTTTATTTTGACCACTTCGAATAAGTAACATAACATAATCGGTGGGAACGCGACCAGTTTAATTCAAACGATCTATCGACGCCAGAAAGTTTCGAGGTCACTTTAACCGGTTGACACCAAGCGAATGATATTTTTTAATTTCACATTCGCCGTGTGCATTACGGGGATAAAATGTGTTAATACGCGTAAATTATTATCCGAAATATGATGTCCACGGTGAATTTTGCAAAGTAAATAAATTATGATTACTAAATATAGAAGGCTAGTTTACGAGCGTCACTTTTACCCTCGCGACACGACGTAGAAAGTAAGTGTCTGTCTGGCGTACGTCCAAAAACTCGCGAATCTTCTGAGAACCGCAACGCTCGCCGGCTTAATTATGTGCAACTATTCCGCCCATTGCTAAATCACGCTCATGACTAAGAACCGGTTCCGTGCACCAGCACCCAATGCAGGTGAATTTATTAAAAATCGCCTCCATAAATCCGGCCCGGCCGTGTGGCTGCATCTAGGGGCCTCGGCGCATTGATTCCCTTTCATCGCGGTCGGGCATTGTGTGTTTGAAAGCCGCCGTGCAGGGAGTGTAGCAAAAAAATTACAAAAAAAAAGAACAAGTCACAAAACGCCGCACGCGGGGCGCTCCGGTGCGGTCGCGGGCACGACTTGCATTATACGGACGTTTGAAATGCCACGCATGTGCACGGCAGATGTTCGGGGCAAAACCTATCCCGAATACATGCATTATTACCGCCCCGACCGCCCTCCACCCCGCTGTCGCCCGCAAAGCAGTCACTGACCTCTTTTTCGCCGATACGCACTATGCCGCTTCGCTTTTGACCTGTTTCATTCGCCCTCCCCCACGCGGTCTTAACCTCCACCGGCTCACGATCAGGTCGCCTTTAATGGCGCACGGGTGAATCATTTTGGATTTGTTAACGGTTTCAAAAATGTCTCATCAGGTAGAGGTTTATATTACTATATAAAAGAGTCATCATCTGTTTGTTTATATACGAGACCAATTTTTCACATTGAATTACGTAGCATGACTATAAACTTTAGACTGCACATAAAGTAAACCGCCGTGAACAATCTTGAATTTGTAACAATACGTCGCAAAAAATTTCAGTGTGAATGGAATAAGTTTTAGGATTAAAAAGAATTCAAAATAGCTAAATTTGCGCCAAGTTCAACGCTCGTGAATCGTTTACGGGCAAGATCGAGTACGGTTCGCAATAAACGTAAAACAGGCACGCACGCCCGAAGCGAAAATGTCGAAATATTTATGACATTCTTTTTTTTGTTTCACGAGTTTATATTTAGCAGTTGTTCTTACGTTCGGAAGCCGTATCAAGCGAGCTTCATCTCTAGACGTTGTGTTTACACCTCCTTTTCGTCTGAACGAGTGATTTATTATATTTTACGTGTTTATTAAAATGAGGATGTGATTAGTCGAACAAGTTTCGTGCAACTAGCACGGACTATACAATATAGTCGTCTTGTATTATCAACTTTTATTAATACTACATTTATTTATTCGGTTATATAAAAAATTTAATAAATGTTGGCTGATTTAAAAACGAAAATCATTTCGTCGCATCTGAAGTATATTGTAATTGGATTAACGCAATACCGAGAAGTCGTTCAACGGAGTGCAGTCTATCTAGGGAATTTTATGACCGACGGGGGCGCATTCCGAAGCCCCATTAGGAGCGGTCCAGTTGAACCTCTCAAAGGGTCGTTGAGCAGGTATATTGCACGAGTTTGCGTTTTTGCCCCGCACAAAACACAGTTAAATTTATTCCTCGCATCGTTTCACACGAACGAATGCCTATGCGATTTGCAATGTCCCAGCGGTGCTGCCTCTAGTGATACGTTCTGTTCACAGTCTTGGCGGTGCACCCGTGGAACCGGTTTCCCCGACAATTCCACCGTCCTCCGCCCGATTTCTTCTTCCGCCACGCGGCGCGGGTCATTTCATCAATTATTCATATCTATATCTGTTTGACTTTTAGAAGAGGCCGCTTATCGTTGGAAATGAGTCGACATGCTTGCGTCATAACTGTGGTTACAAGTTTACAACATAATTTATATCAGTTCTGCAACTTTAAACATAACATAAAACAAATTCAATGACAAACATTTGTGATTTATGTCAGAAATATTGAATCATTCAATTATGTAAAACTTTGATGGTTGACACATCAAGTACAAATACTAATAATATTGACAAGGGCCTTTTTCTTGGCCGTGGAAGTTCCCAGGACGTTGCTTTAGACTTAGAGGATAAGGATATGGTTAGAAACTTTGCAAAGCTCTGAAAAGTCCAAGACTATGCTCTTCTGTTGAGGTAATAGATGCACAATGCACAGTGCTTATTGCAATTAGTTAGTTCCTAGCGCGCCAGTCGTAACGCTCGACCTAATCTCGCTCGGCGCTCTGTTTACAAAACCTCGTGGATTCGTATCGCGCGCGCGGGCCACTATTTGTAAACAGGCCCGGCGGCGCAACCCGCCGACGGAGGCCGCCCGAAATACATCAAACAGGAATTGAATCCGCGCCAACTGGTGTGCGTAGACGGCGGGCTGCGACTCGCCCGCCCCTCGTAAAGTTCTCAATATACGACTCCGTCATATCCCTCGCTCCGCTTCTTTTATGCTCGCCCAATTTACGACGACAATTGTCGACGGGGTCGCGTGTGTGAACTGCGAAACAGAGTCGAGACACCACCCGGTCGCTCATGTTAATTCACCAACCGATTCAATAAAGCTTCTCCGATGAATAATTTCTTGGGCGACAGATTTAGGCGTTTCTCCCGCAAGTTATTTTCTTTTTTTATCATTTTGTTTACACGCTACATCTCGCCTCGTCAAGATTAATCCGGTTATGGACCGAACGGACGAGTGGGGCCGGTTGAATCGCCGCCATTTGCGATTCATGGTATTTCTCTAATGCCGTTCTCTGTGCATTATACACGACGGGTGCACGCAGCCCGTCTTCAATTTACAACATCTGCGTTCCATTAACCTTGCCGTAGACGTTCGCCAACCATCGACTATCGGCCGTTTTGTCGATGATTGATTATGCAACGCAATTTGCACAACTGCCCGCCCGCCATTTACAAGTACAAAACATTGATTCGATGCCGCGAGATTTTTTCTATAAACGCTAAACGCAGTTCTGACGAATTCCTCTATAAGTTATTCAAGGTCAAACGAGTTTATTTGTGTAAGGTGATAATAATTCAAGAATTTATTATAAGTTTACTTTGTTTTTTCAAGTTTATTCCGTATAGTTATTAACGTTAACATTGTGCACTATAATATAATTACATGCAAACAGTACGTTATTGGTTCGACGCGATGTTCACCTTCATTTGTCCTTCAAATCTCAAGTAGCACGTCGCGGCTTAATATAACTCTGCAGCGATCGCTATTCCACGTTGATTGTGATATATTGCCTACACCCGTAATTCGTATAACAACTCTAATGCGTTTTATAATTTTTTTCCCATCGACATTATTACACCGCCAGTTCTGAGAAAAGCCTATAAACTACCTATTCCGATTTTAAATTTTCCCACTCGGGTTTGTTATGATTTCAAAACTGGTCCGTGTGGGCGATAGGTATTTGTTGTTAAGACTGTTCGTATGCGGATGTTGTGCGCGGCGGTCTGGTGAGTTTGGTAAATTTCACACCGCCTCCTGGGTGACCTATTTTAGTACCACGTATGTATACGAGATCGCTGCATAGGCGCAGATGTACGCCCGTCAGCGGATAAATCTCCAAATGATATTTCGAAAACGCAGCACTCTAACGTTATATTCGCTCCTCCACAATGTTTACACCCATTTATCATGACGGTCCGTCGGAAACAATACGTATTTGAAAATGCATGTTAGGAGCGAAGCGCTCCGAGATGGACCGTATCATTTTTGTTGGCATTCTTCGTATTCGTAGTTTGCTTGCCCATTGCGCCTCCCAGATCCCGATGGTGCATTTCGTAAACTTTCGTTTTAAGTTTCGTAAACACGTGAATTGATTGAGGAGGCGTTGGTGTTATTTCTCTTCGGTGTCGTCTCGTTTCGAAGAAGCAGGCAGCTGTTTCCTTTGGCATTCATCGAACGTCTGTTGTCGTTTCAAGAAACCACTTTTGAGAATTTGCATTCGGAACTGATGGCAGATTTACTGAATTATCACTTTACCTTCTTTAGTTGTTCCGCCACCTGTGTGTAATCGCTGACCGTTGTTACGTACAGTTGGACATTTCAACATGAAGATTCTGAAAGGTTTCGCTCTGTCGTAACACTTTACAAACGGTTCAAGCCTAAGACGAACGGAAGAGAGAAGAAGGTTAATCGCATTTACAAAGCCCATATACATTATACATAAACGTACCTATGTATAGATTGGACGAGTTAAACGAACCACGCGGACATTAATCAACGTTGTCGGTAACCATAGACGTCTCCGGGGGATTAGCCGCCGAGATATTCTATTCTCCGTTCGTAATTAATAGCTTTTGGCAAGTGAGCGTTAGCGGACCGACGCAAATAGGTTCCGTGATGGCGCGGTGCAGTTGCGCAATGAGATTATTAATGCGAACGGTGCAAAGACAATAACGGGATACAAAAGTCGACGTGGATGAGCATACGTCTGATGAGCGACCCACGCGCCGAGGTATGGACCAAAGGCCTCTCTACCAACTGCTAGGAGAGCTTGAGAGTCAACTGATAAACTCTGTCGTCGGCACAACAATAAAATCTATGTTGCCGGAGTTCTACTCCTAGCCGTGGCCCGTACAAGCGTTGTTCGGAAATTTATTCCCAAGCATCGGATTAAGCGACAAACACCACTCGGACGCAAACGGACCGACTCGAGTGCCCGGGCGTTTAATTAAACGTGAATTATGTACGCCCACCACGCTCGAGGCAATGACTTGTGTAGTTGATTCATTAGCTCGCGCGGCTCACCCACTCCGGCTGCGTGTCGTACGCAACGAGAGCGATCCAGCGCACGATTCTCGCGATCGTTTGCGGTTCGTATCTAGAGCGGATATTTGTGAGGCGAAATCAACGATTTCCCGCCAATACTTTCGTTTCGGAAAACGGTAACGTACGCGCTCATATCGACCGGATGCGTGTCAATTAAGGCCCGCGGAACCGCTCGTGTACCGCTAGCTCCGCGCATAAAGAACATCGGGACCGGTTGCGTACAGCGCCTCGAGATGTATAGTCCGGAATCTCCGTTGAATTAATGCACCGCGATTAGAATTTAGGTAGGCAAGGCGTACGTTCTCACGTTTCTAAGACCGGTAGGTGCTCGGACTCTGAACGTGTTTATTACCCACAGCGGGTCCTCTCTCGCCGTCGAAAATGTCGTTTACAGTTGCTTTTATTGCGTTTAAATCCCTCGCCGCTGGCTGTGAAATGTTCAAGACGAACATTTTCAACGATTGTCGGATATTTAAAGCGCTGAATGACGGCAAGTTTAGTTTATTTAACTTAATACGTACTTGACTGTATGATTATAATTCGTTTATTTTATAGTACGATAATGTTTGTGAAACTTTTTTAGCGTTGTTATGACGGCCTCCTTTTTTTTTTCGTGTATGATTATAATTCGTTTATTTTATAGTACGATAATGTTTGTGAAACTTTTATTTAATCGTTGTTATGACGTCATTACGATGGAGGAATTCAAACCAACTAAGATGATAATCATGAATTTGTTATTCGAAACGCAAATTGGTTTTCCTTGATTATGTACCAAGTAAATAACGAGGAGGAAAATAGTTTTATTTTTATCTTGACGTTGTTTAAATCCACATGAGCAATGCTGCACGTACTATGCACGCTTTAAATATTTACCTTGTACAGTGTGTTTAATTACGTTATTGTGGTTTGTTCGAATAAGTGTAGTCGTGCTGAAGCTTGTTGCAGTAACTTTCTATGCCAGTTTTTTTTCTTTCTATCTTTTAATAAAAGACGTTATTTTGTGAATGTTTGATTATATCAACATTTTCTAACATGTACATCTAAACTTTTTCTTACATAAGTTAATAGTACGACATGATGGGAGATATTTCTTCTAATAATTTGAATTTATTTTTAAATAAATGGTTTGCTTTTATAACAAAAACTTAACTCGCTATAAATAATGAATTAAATGAATTGAACAGACATTGCATTATTCTTTAAATTGTAAAATATTTGTTCTCCGTAATCGTTGAAGTTCAAAACACATTATCATAATAAATTTTTGTACATAAATGAACAAAAACTTTTAGGGCTGCAGAATTTACATTATAATTTATTAATTACACATTATCATTATAATTTATTATTTTATGTAATAATTTATTAATACCCGTGGTTATTTTTAAAATATATATAGAGTTTGGAATATTAAAAAAAATAAACATCGGCCAAGTGAGAGTCGGACTCGCACACGAAAATCATATCTCTTTTATGGGAGCCCCAGTTAAATATTTTTTTGTTCTGTTTTTTAGTATTAGTTGTTATGGCGGCAAAAGAAATAGTAATAGGTTTTTTAAGTCTATAGTACTTATTATCGTAAGCACTAGTATAAAAGTATACAGGAATAAGAACTACTGTCTTTTTAACTTAATTGTGTAACAGTAATCGATCGTTAAATTATTTTTATGACTTGTCGCAATCACTGTGGCGGTTTAAGTGGTTCGAACAAAAACATCAACTTTTAAAACCTTCATAAAATATAATTTAACACTAAAATAATTGTGTCACATGTTTATTTTAAAGCATTGTATTTTCTTATAAAACACTTCCTTGTTCAAAATTCGCGCTTGGAAGTGGACAATGCGCCGAGTGACCTTAAATAATTCAACTAGTTTATCCAGCTGAATAAACATACTTTTCTACCGGACTACTACTTATTGATAAAACATCACTATGAGTGATATAAAAACAAAGCTTAGTACGTAAAAATATAGCTTAGTACGTAACCGTTTGGAACGATCGGTATACTCGATGAAACTACCGACTCGAAACATCCATTTGCGTCGTGTCAAGGCTGTAGAATTACTTAGCACTGTTTACCTTCATTGTCTCTTTATCTTTATCAACAAGCAATTCGTATCTTTATCAACAAGCGATTCGCTCGATATTATTTTACTGTAATACCAGTCGGTGGTTTCACAAATTCCCATTTTACCTCTTTGTGTTTTCTGACATGACTTGTTACAATCGAATTGTGAACAACTCCTTATGGAGCACGCAAAACTTTCTTCAGTGGTTCGAACCCCCAACACTGTATGCAATGGCAAATGGCAAGTTGACCAACTCAACATCTGGGCCATTCGTTCAGTCTATTGCGTTTTATATTTATGTGCAAAATTAGTGCCTCGCGTTTCCATGTTTATTAGTAAACTGACCGGATAGCGTCATTATTTATGTGTGGATACGTTTTAATGGCGAATGTCTAACCGATACCGTGTTGGATTGATCGCCACGCCGTCGCCACGATCGAGTGAGTTTCACCGAATCTGGATGGCGGATCGTCGATCCGCTTCCATTTGGGCTGAGAAAGTGACAGCTTAATCGCGCCGGCGGAATAAAAGCCCGCCGGCACCGTGTTGGTTGCGCTGCCGTGGATGAGTTGAGTTTGGGCACTGTGTTGGTTGCGCAACCGTGGATGAACTTCGGGCGTCATGCTCTTCACGCGTTTCGACACTTGTCGCACGGAACCAATGGCAAGTATGTCGCCAGCTCACACCGCGCGGCGGAGTTGCCGGGTGGGTGTATTTTGATGTTATAGGTACTTCTTTTTAAGCGTTTGGAAAAAATGATGAGACAGAGACACCAACTTCATGGTGTTGCCACGGCAACAAATAACAACATTTAAACATTTATATATTATTAGTTTATTGCAATTAATCTTTGTTTCACAAACAATGAGTACTGGCACACGGGGATTAACATTGTAGTATTTTTTTTGTTAAGAGCTTTTTTAAAAAAGCAGTTTTTCTAAAGAAGAGTTTTTCTAAAGAACTATAAAATGTTACGCGCGTCCATAAGTACACACCCCCAACACTGTATGCAATGGCAAATGGCAAGTTGACCAACTCAACATCTGGGCCATTCGTTCAGTCTATTGCGTTTTATATTTATGTGCAAAGTTAGTGCCTCGCGTTTCCATGTTTATTAGTAAACTGACCGGATAGCGTCATTATTTATGTGTGGATACGTTTTAATGGCGAATGTCTAACCGATACCGTGTTGAACGATTGATCGCCACGCCGTCACCACGATCGAGTGAGTTTCACCCGAATCTGGATGGCGGATCGTCGATCCGCTTCCATTTGGGCTGAGAAAGTGACGGCTTAATCGCGCCGGCGGAATAAAAGCCCGCCGGCACCGTGTTGGTTGCGCTGCCGTGGATGAGTTGAGTTTGGGCACTGTGTTGGTTGCGCAACCGTGGATGAACTTCGGGCGTCATGCTCTTCACGCGTTTCGACACTTGTCGCACGGAACCAATGGCAAGTATGTCGCCAGCTCACACCGCGCGGCGGAGTTGCCGGGTGGGTGTATTTTGATGTTATAGGTACTTCTTTTTAAGCGTTTGGAAAAAATGATGAGACAGAGACACCAACTTCATGGTGTTGCCACGGCAACAAATAACAACATTTAAACATTTATATATTATTAGTTTATTGCAATTAATCTTTGTTTCACAAACAATGAGTACTGGCACACGGGGATTAACATTGTAGTATTTTTTTTGTTAAGAGCTTTTTTAAAAAAGCAGTTTTTCTAAAGAAGAGTTTTTCTAAAGAACTATAAAATGTTACGCGCGTCCATAAGTACACACCCCCAACACTGTATGCAATGGCAAATGGCAAGTTGACCAACTCAACATCTGGGCCATTCGTTCAGTCTATTGCGTTTTATATTTATGTGCAAAGTTAGTGCCTCGCGTTTCCATGTTTATTAGTAAACTGACCGGATAGCGTCATTATTTATGTGTGGATACGTTTTAATGGCGAATGTCTAACCGATACCGTGTTGAACGATTGATCGCCACGCCGTCACCACGATCGAGTGAGTTTCACCGAATCTGGATGGCGGATCGTCGATCCGCTTCCATTTGGGCTGAGAAAGTGACGGCTTAATCGCGCCGGCGGAATAAAAGCCCGCCGGCACCGTGTTGGTTGCGCTGCCGTGGATGAGTTGAGTTTGGGCACTGTGTTGGTTGCGCAACCGTGGATGAACTTCGGGCGTCATGCTCTTCACGCGTTTCGACACTTGTCGCACGGAACCAATGGCAAGTATGTCGCCAGCTCACACCGCGCGGCGGAGTTGCCGGGTGGGTGTATTTTGATGTTATAGGTACTTCTTTTTAAGCGTTTGGAAAAAATGATGAGACAGAGACACCAACTTCATGGTGTTGCCACGGCAACAAATAACAACATTTAAACATTTATATATTATTAGTTTATTGCAATTAATCTTTGTTTCACAAACAATGAGTACTGGCACACGGGGATTAACATTGTAGTATTTTTTTTGTTAAGAGCTTTTTTAAAAAAGCAGTTTTTCTAAAGAAGAGTTTTTCTAAAGAACTATAAAATGTTACGCGCGTCCATAAGTACACACCCCCAACACTGTATGCAATGGCAAATGGCAAGTTGACCAACTCAACATCTGGGCCATTCGTTCAGTCTATTGCGTTTTATATTTATGTGCAAAGTTAGTGCCTCGCGTTTCCATGTTTATTAGTAAACTGACCGGATAGCGTCATTATTTATGTGTGGATACGTTTTAATGGCGAATGTCTAACCGATACCGTGTTGAACGATTGATCGCCACGCCGTCACCACGATCGAGTGAGTTTCACCGAATCTGGATGGCGGATCGTCGATCCGCTTCCATTTGGGCTGAGAAAGTGACGGCTTAATCGCGCCGGCGGAATAAAAGCCCGCCGGCACCGTGTTGGTTGCGCTGCCGTGGATGAGTTGAGTTTGGGCACTGTGTTGGTTGCGCAACCGTGGATGAACTTCGGGCGTCATGCTCTTCACGCGTTTCGACACTTGTCGCACGGAACCAATGGCAAGTATGTCGCCAGCTCACACCGCGCGGCGGAGTTGCCGGGTGGGTGTATTTTGATGTTATAGGTACTTCTTTTTAAGCGTTTGGAAAAAATGATGAGACAGAGACACCAACTTCATGGTGTTGCCACGGCAACAAATAACAACATTTAAACATTTATATATTATTAGTTTATTGCAATTAATCTTTGTTTCACAAACAATGAGTACTGGCACACGGGGATTAACATTGTAGTATTTTTTTTGTTAAGAGCTTTTTTAAAAAAGCAGTTTTTCTAAAGAAGAGTTTTTCTAAAGAACTATAAAATGTTACGCGCGTCCATAAGTACACACAATTTTTATTATGTGAAGGCTTGGCAACCGACCAGGCGGTTGCCAACCATGATGTTAAGTGATTACCGCCGCCCATGCATATCTACAACATCACATCTAATGCAGATGGGTTGTCAAACATTAAAACAAAATGGGCCCCGGTTATCTCAATAACCAGACGAAACGCGAAAGTATATACTTCCACTTCACGGTGGTCACTAGGTGTCCAGTCGAACCATAGTTCACCCCCCCAGGCACGGAGGTCGAATGATAACTGGAAATGGCGGCCGGTGCGCGAAAACGAAACTATCGCGCTCATAAATTTTGCCCACCGTAAACGTCTCGAACGCAGTGTCGCTTCTCAATGCTTCTGACCCACATAAAATTCGCCTGCGCCGTTAGCTTTAGCGAAACGGTGTTTGGACGTAAGCCCGTAATGGCAACCCCATCGTCGAGGCAAGCGTCTAATTTATTGCCAACTAGCTATCCGCCTAAGGTTCGCGAGCGTGCAATGTTTTAAACATATAAACCTTATTCTTGAATCACTCTATCTAGTGGAAAAAACCGCATCAAGATCCGTTGCGTAGTTTTAAAGATCTATGCATCCATAGGGACAGACAGACAGCGGAACGACTTTGTTTTATTCTATGTAGTGATGATAGACGAACAACAAGCGAAGTCTGCCGTGTCGTTATCGTCGTGTTAAACGGCAACGCAGTCCATGCTCGGTTATCTCCGTTAATACAATCGTCTCTGTGTAATGTGAGCTAATGGTAATCTACTGATAGTGGTGGGTTTCCGTGAGCAATGGAATAATTTCAACTGTAACTCTTTATTCGAGTGACTAACGTCGTCGTAGTTGTTTCGTTGATATGTTTAAGACCGCGAGGATTTTCGTCCTTGTGCTTGTCTCTACTATTTTCTTGTTAGTTCAGATCACTGGTACGGCCTGTTGTCAGTAATTTATAGTACCGGTGAAAAATTATACCAGAACAATAAAAACGATTACGATTTGGTTAAGCAATTCGTTTATAAATTTACACATTTTCAATAAAACTTATTAACTGTTGTAATCGTAATTCTAAATATAACATGCACACTTAATTATCATTTTTATATACTTACGCAATCCTAGTATCATCGTGGTCCGGCCGTGATAGGAACTTGATATAGCGTATGTAGGTCATCGTACGCGATAATGAGACATCCGACGACGTTGCATCGGTTTTAAAATCATGGAACGGATTCATATCCCGGCGCGACTTAAAAAGGAAGTCCATCAGGCTCATTCGTTCCGATTATTTTTGATACGAGCAGTAAAGTAAAGTAATACGATGTAATCACTAAATTTTTAAATCGAAAAAAAGTTTTTCTTTGTTTGCAGTGCATCGCGATGAAGGTAACCCATTAAATATGTTCGTTAAGTTCTACCACGGAATGAAAGTAAAGCGACACTTAAAGTTCACCGTTTAAATTATTCCGGCACCGATTATCTCGACGAAATTTAATCATGTATAAATAACAAAGCCAACGATGGCTCGCATAATAAATAACTTCAATAATAAAACCAACTCGCCCTCTCCTTTGTCTACCCTCATATCTTGCATCAATGTTTTTTTCTTCTTTTATACGAGATCAAAACGGCTGGGGTGAAGCAATAGGGTTGGCGAGGAATCTTTGCGGTCCCTCGTGCAAAGAGGGAAGGGTTGACGTGGCCTTCCTACCTACGCACACGCTCCGGTTTATGGAATATTTCATCGGCAACAGGGATGTTTCGCGAATATAACTTGTAATGTGTAGCAATTGGGAGTATTATAGCATGAGCGGTCGATTACGCCGTAACGAATTTGCCCCACTTATTTACTCGCATTCTAGACTCGTGTAATTGAAATCTGACTTATGGTTACGTCCAGCCAGCGCGTTTTATTGGAATTGCTCGCTCGTTGTAAAATGACACTAGTGTAAAACATATACGATTTTATTGTGCCGTCTAAACATATAATAGACATACACGATTTGCGCAATCTTTGATGTCATGGATGTTATGAATGTCGTGAGGCGTCCTATTCCACATATTATTTTGAACCACAGAGGGAATTCGAGTTGACAATATGAGTAATAACAAAAAACGACCTATTCAATACACTACTGAATTGTGAAAGGCGAAAGAAGGCGATACTCGTTTTATGAATGAAATCAGCTGCTGGGACAAAGGGCGCTTCTGCGAGGATAATATTAGGGATGGTTGGTTTAGACGAGGGTTAGATTTATTTCTATTGTCACAAGGGCGGAAGAGGCAAGAATTCTGAAGACTTCAAATGTCAATTCTCGAAATGACGTTTCCAACTATAATCATATAAACATTCTTATACACAGTATTCGTTACTTGTACTTGAATTTTTGGTATTACGAAACAATTTTACTCCAGTACAGTTTACACCCGAGGGCCGTTTGCAACCGGTAGACCTGATATTATCGCGATAAATAGACGAATAAATTATCAAGGTTTTACTCTCGGCTGAAGCTCGATTCATAGCCGACGACGTAATGAGCTTGAAGCGCTCTGCGGGTGTGTTTTCCCACCCCCCGCACCCACCCGAGTGGCACCCTACGAATCCCCGCTATGTCGCCTAATTGTGACATTTTCCTATAGCCCCACCCCCGTTTAATAATCCCTTAAAGAAACGAATACCGAAAATTAAATTCCTTCCACGGCATTGTGTTTTTCATTACCGAGCCCCGTGATTCATCGATCTGAGCTGTCAACATTTAACAATCGCTCCCGACTTGTTGTGTAATTATGTAACGCTTTTTATAAAAAGCGACGTGACGTGTTATTGTGTAAAAAAAAAAGAAACAGCTATACTGTTTCTTTTTTTTTTTATAAATTTTCAACGGAATTCTCGTTTTCTTTGAAACGTTACAAATCAGTTTACGAAAGACTGCGATCTTTGTACACGAATGATTTTATAAACAAACAAGTTGGAATATTAAGGATGGCAGCGTTAAGTCGATTATATGTTACATACGATATAGGTAATGTATCGCTATTAATTGCGTTACCGGAACGTTTTGAAGTGATCACGGGCACGCTCCGTTCCAAGCTCTCTGGCACTCGAATTGAGGAGTGCTGGGTGTTCAACGTGTCGAAATATCGCTTGGCGTTTGTCCAAATAGCGGGCGGGATAGTGCGGCGGCTGCACTTTTTATGGAAAACCCTTGATGATCTGCTGCATATTGGCGCTGGTGGTGGAGGGTTTAATACAGTTAGGGCAGCGGGGGCTCCCCTCTCCCACGTCACGTATCGGGGGAGTTTCCGGGAGTCCGCTGGTGGTGACTAACGGCCGCGGCGAGCGAACGGCCTAGTCGTTAAATTTCGCCTTATGTATATAGTATATAGTTTGTCGGCATTGTGTGAACGTAAAAAACGAATTTATCGTCAACTTTAATGCGAAGTTAAACACGCCCTAGCAAACGTTATTACTTTCTTTATTGCTCAAACTAAGGACCTTAGTGAGCACGCGAGCATTGCAATCGCCGTAATCTGAAAATATACAGATATATATTATATACACGAGGACAACGCTTCTACAATTGTAATTTGAAGCGAACGTTTTAATGTTTACATAACTCAACCCCACTGATATAAACAGAAGAAAGATGGCAGCTGACGCCAAGTGCCAAGGCCAAATGAGTACGTTTACTTAATGGTTACCATTTAAATAACACTTTAAACGTATCTTTAATAACAATCGTAATTTAAATAAGTAGCATAGTACACTATTGTCCTCTTTAAAAAAATAACTCAGCACGTGATACGAGCCATATTGTAAAGAAGACAGCTATTAGATTACCATTAGGTATAACAGTTTCGTAGCTTAGTGTGAGAGCGTTCGGAGTAATCTTTGCACTATAAATAGTTTCTAGCCGTGTGGTAGTGCCGTAGCTAACAATGGATTTATATTCGTGGTGAGTTCAGTTCAGTAAATCTCGAACCACATATCGACTTTGTGTTTATATTCGGCCGCGCGTTCTGTTTCCTTGTTCAAATCTCGTTTTGAGTTTTAAAAGAAACAACACATATTGATTAGAATGATAATATTAATAAAACCGTTTAAAAACTTTAAAGTTAAACGGTTTTATTTTATGTGCACTGAAAACTACAATATTGTATTGTCATCTAAATTAAATGTGTGTACCAAATTTCAGATCAATCTGACAACGGGAAGGTGCTTAAATTTCAATTTCTAATTTTGACCCAAATAAACAAACAAATTCCGTACGGGTCGAGCTAAATAAAACCGTTTAAAAACGGTTGGAATTTTCCCCGTGACGTTTACAATTATTTAATCAGTAATATCAATATTAAACCATTAAATAGAGCGTTAACGACACGTGAAGTAATAAATATTATTTTTACAACAATGACCCAAACGATCGCTCTAATTGGTGAAAAGGCGAAGAATAGAGTAAGAAACAAAGAACGGTCGAAATTATTTACAAAAAGTTTGATTCCCTCCCGCATTTCTTTAATCGATGTTGGAGACGAACGCGATGTATCGTGGTCGGTATAACACGAAGCTCCAATGTTCACGCCATTCTTCACGTGGAGGGCATTAAAACCGCGAACAATAACAATGCTCTATACATACGACGCTACGCAGGAAATGTTCAACGCGTTCGCAGCTGTCTCCCTTACAGTGCCTGAACATGAACACGCACGCCGCCTTAACTCGAACAAATCGACCAACATTTTTAAACGCTTACACTTACACCCGTGTCCGTAGTAGAACGCTCAATTCGATAGGTTTTGTCGTTAATTTGAAACACAACCTAAAACCCCCTTATTTATGTTGATGGCACTGTGAATATATCAAGTGACTCGTACTTTAATTGAAAGTTACGAGATACTTCTAGACATCAGATATTTGCACACATGCCAACTGTGCAAATATCTGATATCTATAGAGACATCCGAAATATTATAGCAAGAATAACATATGTACTATAGAACTTTTTGGCGTGCAAGAGATTATGTCAAGCGCGTTTCTTAATAATAGAGACGGACGTGTACGTGGGCGAGAATAGATTTCTCCGCTCTAGATTCATACCATGGCCGATCGGCTCGATAAATTTCGCGGTTCACGGTTATTTGAGCGCAACTCTGACGACCCGCGATCGCATGGCCGCTTCATTTCGACTCATTTCGCTCCATTACGAGCGAACTGCGGCGCGCCGGTGGCGGTCTCTCCGCCCGAGGCCCTACCGCAACGTATTTGCGTAAATATCACATACGAAGCCTCTGCATTGATAGCGTATGGCGGTGCTATGGCAAAAAGGTTTCAATGGTACAGGTGCATAATTTTGTAGAGTATCTGTCGTGTCGTTCCGGTCGACCTTGCGAATAGATCATTAACGAATATTGCGAACATTATAAAGTTCTTAACATATTTAAAAAAGAAACTGAACTCTAAAGAAAATGATTTGCGTTACTTGTGAAAGAAAATTAGAGATGTAAAACATCTAGCCTCTCTAAGGTTAACTGAGCTATAATGGATTTGTGGAGTACGGCATCTGAGGTTTGTACTTTTGATTACACCACTCGCTTAATATGTTGCATGCCATCAATTTCTCCATGATATTACACCACCTCGCTGTAACGAGTACGGTCTGCGACAGGAAATGACCGCGATGATTTTGCCGTCACCAGCGTAACACTCCACAGCCCTGCGAAGGAGGCCGTTGTAGATTTTCGGCGTTATTCTCGCGTTGGTATTAATATTCACGACGCGCGCACGGGGAGCGGGCAGGCACCGCAAAATGGCCGCCGCTGCAAGTCGTGACCGCGCGGAATCTACGCTCGCTCGCTCGCTCCGTGCCTTCATCAATTATGCATGAATGCGGGGCGAACGCCGATGTTTACTCTCAGCGAGACAACAATTTATTGCGTCGTGCGGTTACCGTCGTCCGGTCGCCGCGCGGCGCTGCGGCCGGGGGCGCGACGACGAAATCACCCCGGGGCACGTTTCTTTTGCGGCGTTCGAACCCACTAGATTAGCGTTTGAATAGCATTAGATCAATCAATCCGCCACGTTGATTCTTAATCCCTCAACAGGAAGACTATTAGACAAATTATGTGAAATGTATGTGCATCGGATGGTTCGTTTATGCCATGATATAAATGTCCATATGTGCAATAATGACGTTGCATCATGTGTAAGTTGAAGTCTCTTGACTTAATATCCAGGTTATATTAGCTTTTAAAAAAAAATAAAAACGCGATAGTCGCACGATGTATTTGCGTACATTACTCAAAAATAGATCGCTAGTTGCTATTACATTTTAAGCCGTTAAATCTGTTCAAAGATCTTAAAAGAAGATAACATTGTGATGCTAATATAGCTAGCGGTGAATGAATTATAAAATCAAAGGAATACAATTATCTTTTCAAAGATAAAAAAATTGTGTCTTCATATTTTGTATACAAATTATTCCATTTATTATGAATTAGTTTCCTTCTATTGACTGCTTCATTTTAGATTTCTTTTAGCTTTTTCGAACGTTGGAGAATGCGAAACGATTTCGTTCGTCTATTAGGTTTTTTTTATTTTGTAAAATTCACAATGATTGCATAATAGTAGGTGTGTATCAAGTTGATACATCGTAACGCGACGATTTAGTCCCGCAGCTGTGCTGTCGCGAGCGAATGAATACAGCCGTGTTTAAATACTCACGTATGTTACCTATTGTCTGAGACTTCCGGCTGCTCTTATAATTGGCCGGTATTCCGAAGTGTTTAAATGTGAAAGTCATTATGTTTTAAACTTAACCTTCGTTGCGCTTAACCCTTTTGTCAGTGGTGGGATCTCCACTCGGTTAACTTGATACATAACAGACATGCTTTACGACTGAACCGAGCACGAAAACAGCCGAGTCATTTGCGTTTTCTTTTGTTTATTCGTTCTAGTGTTCAGTGTTTATTAACAGAAATAGTTTCCGATTTGACATGTATTCAAAACGCCCACGCAAGTGTTAAGAGTCGAGCTCACACCGCCCTCGCTATCGTCTATGCGACAACACCGCGTTTTTAATAGCGATAACACAATCCTAAGATAGCACTTATCGCCCGCAAACAATCCTGTTTGACAACGGCTCACTGTTCGCTTTTTTTTTGTCATTGAACCTCCTAACGTATGTCTTAGCGCGACCCGAATGCGGGGGCGTATTCGGTCCGCCATTCGATAACGACGAATTCAATTAAGCCTCGCACGAAACCGGTTTCCGTGGTCCGTTTAATAGCATCTGTTTTCGTTCGGTGAGTGTGTAATGATGTGAATAGTCGTCTTAATTGTCGAACGCTCTTAATGTAGTCGAACGTTGTTGAATGAAATTTAAATACGATATTATCATCCAAGAGTTTTGTTTGTTCAATTGTTTATAATCAAGTTACAAAATGTTCGCCCCGAGTTCATTCGACGAGAAATGAGACGCTCTTATCTGCATAAGCAAACAATGTCTTATCAGACAGTTATTGACGGTACTATTTCAATAATGAAGTATGTCAAAAATTCCAAGGAAATAACAGTGTTTTTACCTTGCTGTGTATAAGTCGGGAGTTATTAGCATTACTTAGACGGGGCCCCGTTCAAACAAACGCTGCGGGCTCGTTATCAACTGCAACCAGGTTATCGGATTCGTGTTTGCACTTCCTATCGACAAATTCCCCCCATTCTTATCGTGTGTGGGTTATCTTCGTTATCTACGCACGGAACTAGGGATGGGTCGTATCGCTTTTTCTGAGTACCGTATCTGAATCCGATATCGATTTCAAATATCAGATTTCGAAACTATGTATTTTAATATCTAGATATTTTACGGTTCCCTATCCACGTTGATTAATAGAATTCTAAAAAAAAAAAAAAAAAAAAAAAAAAAAAAAATTTGAAAATATAAATAACATCTTATATACCGCTTAATAATTGACTTTAACATATTTTTAGAACACGCAATCGAGTGGCAATATTTTTATTATTTGTGTAAGAAATAATACATTCAGTATTATAGCTTAGGGCGGAAGAATTTAAAATATACACACAAGGCACATAAGCCTTGGTCTGATTTCCACCAAAGCAGCACAGCACTATTAAATTATATATGAATAAAATTCAGCTAATAAAAATATTCAAAAAATTTACCTCCTAAAAAATTTACATTGTATATTTTTCTTCCTTAATTTAGGCAGAAAATTCTTAAGTAGTAAGTTGGCATCCCTTACTATTACGTGTTAAGTACCAATGCAATCCAGCTCAAGGCTGAACAAAATTTCAAAGACATCGTTAATACCGTAATTCGTATTTAAATGCAACAGAGTTTTTTTCCATGCTGTTAAGATTCAAAATTACTTAACTGCGCGCTTTGTCGCCCGTTACGGCTCAAGGCTAAACAAAACAATAAAAATATAATAATATCGTTGTAGTAATCGCTGATACCAAGATTAGTATTTAAATGAAACGGATCTTATTTGCATGGTGTTAAGATTCAAAATTACTTAACTTATTCATAATATCTGTTTAAAAATCTGATATCGTGCATTGCTTGCCGTCCCACTCTAACTAGTAAGTATTTATATCTCACGCGCTTTGTCGCTCAATATCTGATATCGTGCATTGCTTGCTGTCCCACTCTAACTAGTAAGTGTTTATATCTCACGCGCTTTGTCGCTCAATATCTGATATCGTGCATTGCTTGCCGTCCCACTCTAACTAGTAAGTACGTTTTATATCTCACGCGCTTTGTCGCTCAATATCTGATATCGTGCATTGCTTGCTGTCCCACTCTAACTAGTAAGTATTTATATCTCACGCGCTTTGTCGCTCAATATCTGATATCGTGCATTGCTTGCCGTCCCACTCTAACTAGTAAGTGTTTATATCTCACGCGCTTTGTCGCTCAATATCTGATATCGTGCATTGCTTGCTGTCCCACTCTAACTAGTAAGTGTTTATATCTCACGCGCTTTGTCGCTCAATATCTGATATCGTGCATTGCTTGCCGTCCCACTCTAACTAGTAAGTGTTTATATCTCACGCGCTTTGTCGCTCGATATCTGATATCGTGCATTGCTTGCCGTCCCACTCTAACTAGTAAGTGTTTATATCTCACGCGCTTTGTCGCTCAATATCTGATATCGTGCATTGCTTGCCGTCCCACTCTAACTAGTAAGTGTTTATATCTCACGCGCTTTGTCGCTCAATATCTGATATCGTGCATTGCTTGCCGTCCCACTCTAACTAGTAAGTGTTTATATCTCACGCGCTTTGTCGCTCAATATCTGATATCGTGCATTGCTTGCCGTCCCACTCTAACTAGTAAGTGTTTATATCTCACGCGCTTTGTCGCTCAATATCTGATATCGTGCATTGCTTGCCGTCCCACTCTAACTAGTAAGTGTTTATATCTCACGCGCTTTGTCGCTCAATATCTGATATCGTGCATTGCTTGCTGTCCCACTCTAACTAGTAAGTGTTTATATCTCACGCGCTTTGTCGCTCAATATCTGATATCGTGCATTGCTTGCCGTCCCACTCTAACTAGTAAGTGTTTATATCTCACGCGCTTTGTCGCTCGATATCTGATATCGTGCATTGCTTGCCGTCCCACTCTAACTAGTAAGTATTTATATCTCACGCGCTTTGTCGCTCAATATCTGATATCGTGCATTGCTTGCTGTCCCACTCTAACTAGTGAGTATTTGTATCTCACGCGCTTTGTCTCTCGAAATCTGTTTAAAAATCAGATATTGTGGCAAACGCGTATGATATCGCCGTATCGCGATTCGTGTCGGTATAGCGAGCGAGCACGGTACATCAGATTTCGGAAATATCAGATATTGTAAAATACATAGATATTGAACGAGCCAGTAAGCGATATTGGGATATTGTACTAATATCTAGTTTTCATATCTGATACGATTTGTATCGCCCACTTCTACACGGAACGAACGTGTGCGATAAATACCGTATTTTTAGAAAAATATTTATAAGGGCTACGTGATGTCGTCCTATCGATTGGCTTATCTCTTTGCGAAATCAAAACATATTTTTGCGCAACCATTTGGAACGGGGGCCGTGGTGGCCCATCGCTGTTTTCCAGTATCATCACAGTTAATCCAGTATCGTCGAGCAGCCCGAGTTCAAATGGTACCCACCCGCAACGCGAAAGTATCATGCTTCTTCGTCGCAACTTCACTTCGTCGCAAACGACACGTCACAAAAAAAAAATCGTGTGGTGCGGACAGTCTTTTGTCTAGAAAGGCCCTTTTCCAGAAGTTTAACATTATGTATAACGAATAGGCTGTTGCTTATTGGGATCGAAGACAGTTTACCGGTCGTGGCTTTAAATCATTACAGTCCGTGTACGAAACAGTCACCAGAATCGCGTTTGCATGTTTTTTTTTTCATTCGCCGTATTGCACGAACGCCCGCAAATTACGGAGTATTAGTTATTGGCGTGTTACCGCTAACACGATTAGCGCGAGGCCAACACTGATACGCGACCTCTTTGCTTGTTTTAAAGCGGAATGAGAAAAAAAAACAAGCTCTCGAACCTGTTTGCCGCTGTCATATCGCTCATTCGCTTGCACGTCCAGATCAGTTGATTGCTTACCAGCCACGCGGCGTTATATACGTACGTAAAATTATGTCCACTATATACGTACTTCGACGAAAGTAGGTGAGGTTAAGTACTCGCAAATAGTGATACACGCTCTTGATTAAGGCTTGTACTTTTGATTATATTAAAAGTCTTGAAATCAAATAATAATATATTGGATCCCCATGTAACACGCTCTGTAATATGCTCGGTGTCAAATGCGTGCATTGAATATTATATGACCCGCAAATCGAGCCTACATCAATTTCGCTTTTAGTCTTATTTATTTGTGCTACTAAATGCGGAGCAGGATAGATTGTCACCGAATGCTTGGCGAGTTGCCAAGCGGTTGGCGCGGCGTTAAACTCCCCCGGTATGTTGGTCAACGATCGATTCTTGTTTATGTTGCACTAATTCCCGCGAAATTCTATTTTTAAACGGATATTTTGGCTCGGCGTACTTTGTGTGCGTGTATACACGTTTTTGCCTGATAGCTCCAAAGTCCATATGTATTATATGTATGTAACGCAATCGTTTCGTTTGGATAAAGTAAACATCGTTACATTATGTCCACAATATAATACAAAACACGTGCGATTTTGTATTAAGTAGTTGGCATAATTACATATTCTGGAAGATATTTCTGTCATTGATAAGTAATAAAAACAGTTGGTGTAATATGAATTTATATATTAACAGGTTTCAAGGTCTGCTTCATTATGTTGTCATTCAATGATAACAATAACAGCAGACACTTTGGAAGTCATTTAAATATATGAATAAATTATTTAAGTCGGTACCCGTGTTTTCGAAAAAACAATTTATACGATAATGACGCCGCGCGGTTGTGAGTTGATGAACTTAACAGGTTTTCTTAATCTCCCACCGCCGTCACAGAGGTGATCGTTAATTAATATTTAAAACGCTACTTTTGTGTGTGTCTGTTATACGTTTCACGTATGACTTCCACATACAGTGCCGGTTGGAAATTGTTTGCTATTTATATTAAGTTTGGACTCGCATCGTGATTATTGACATCTGCCCTTCCCGTTTTCCGTTACGGACCGGATCCCCGGGTAGACCGGGTGGTGCGTGCAGTCAGGTGCGTTTGTAGTGCGGGTGGGAGAGGGGGGGGGGACCCTCCACATCCCCCGCCCGTTCACTTGTTGCTACGTTGCCAGCTATCGCTACGTCGCCGACGCGAGACTGGCGTAGCGGTGGCGTGCCCGCCGCCGACCCCTCCCCCCCCCTTCGCCCCTCCCCCCCCTCCCCCTTCGCTCCGTACATTTCCCCGCAATTCAGTTCTTTGTGCGCCGCCAAGGCATCAGTACGTGTATGCAGGAGATCGTTCACAACGGATCGTTTAAGCGTAGTAGTCGTGAATCTTATGTTGTACATACATAAAGTCAATTGGTGTGGCGCATGTGTTTGTGTGTGTGTGCGTGCTTGTGCAGGTGAACGCTTGGCTGCCTCGATTTCCTGACCGCTTTCAAGGGCGCAGCAATTCTTCGGGATTGTTCTAAGATTTTGACGGGCTTTGAAGAGGATCCATTAAACTCGATTATCTGTGATTGTGACTTGACATAAGTGATTTATACTCTGAATAATAATAGTTACCTAGTTGTGTTTAAAATTTAATGTGATTTCAATGGTGAATTTGTTTTTTATTTAAACCCGCTTGCAATACAAAAAGGCCTTAATACTGTAAGTATTTTGATAATATACTTAGCGATATTCGCTTACTGTTTTACACGTGGAAGTTAAATTATTTTTAAACATTTTTAAATGTTATAGAATACACAGTTAAATATATTTATTATGTGGAAATGAATCTTCGACCACTAGTTTTAAGTAATAGTGTGATATTAGTCTGTTAAAGTATATTTTTATGCCATATCATTGTCTTTTACATTAATACCGCCCGTATTGATATACCCAGGTGACCTCTTAATCGTCCGTTATCTATTAATGCGTTTCGAGTTTGTATTGTTCACATAATACGCGCAACTTATCGCCTCGTTCGCTTATCTCGATTTCCATGGTTTATTGCTGTCAGCGGTGTCAACTGACCGTTTACTGCTCTTCTGTTTTTCGATTGGTCATTGTTAATTTATGGAATGAACTAAATGGTCTTTATATTACAAACTACATTAATTCGACGAATAAATCTGTAATAGATTTAATACAATTCACATGGCTCATTATCACAATTGTTTGTACAATAATGATCGTAAATTTCATTAAATTACAGTATTTATTAATACTGTTATTTCAAAAGTATGATTTAATTGGGTAGTATAAGGAGTAGAAAAAACTTTCACCGTTTATCTATAGACACGTCGACACAACACAAGACAAGGCGTAGCGCCATCTTGTGTAATATTAATGTCGGATTTGGAATCTTGTTGAGTCGTGACCTATACGGAATTTGGAGCAATTGTTCTAGTGGGCCTCACGTTCTATATAGTCGTTTGATATAGGAATCCAGTCACGAATGTCCGGGATACGTCGTGAGATACGGGGAAGATTGCCCGTGCCTCCAGCTTAATCAATATTATGTAGGGTTGTATGCATTGCGCAAGATACTGCACGTTGCGTTCAGGCTATGTGATAAAGCGGCACAATGCACCATAGTATGTTGGGTATTATAGTGGCAGATAGCAAACAAGATTAAAAACTACTCTTTTTTAATACATATGTTACTTTGGTATATGGGGTTGAATAAATAAAATATGAATTACTGCCACCATCATTTTTTACATACAAAATAGACAATAGTGAACATTTAAAGCAAAAACGAAGTTTTGCGAAGGAATAGGCTGTTGTTTTATTTTTGCCACGTTTTATTTTAAAGTTAATATGTGGCTTAATGGGAAAGTAATTAAAAATATAAAAGTTTTCGGACATGCAAGTGAAGCATTGGAAATTATTTTTATGTTAAAGATTTCTTACGTAATACAACATTGAGATAATTGATTTTCGGCTCCGAGTAGAAAGCTTTGTCAATACTAAATAACTAACGGTTATTGTTCAAGTGGAAGTGCTTTATTACACGGTCCGCGAGTCTACACGCTCTAATGGTTTTAACGAGATGGCTTCAGTTGATTCGACTAACACGCTTTTATCGTTGCGACTTTGTTACAATTTTATTATACTGTACACTTGGCCCGTGTGTTACATATTCAACATTAATGCGTTGTTTTTTTTTATTCACTCACCAGAATTTCAAAAGAAGTCTCCAATCTTCGTTCGCTTCATTCAAAACACGATCCACGTATAAATTGCCTTATTATCAAGGCACACGCGTCTCTTGAGAGTTCTTCGAAAGGCATTAATTTGACACTCACCGTTGCCCTCCGTCCACCTTAGGCATACTTAAATAATGTTGTACGAAGTAATCGATATGTTTCTATTGTTTGTGAATCAAATTTCGTCACTTGTCGATAAATAGGTACTTTCTAATCACGCAAAAGACCGATTACCCGTTTGTTTATCGTCGTTGCAACAAACTGACCAAAATTATTGATAACAGATAACCTCGTCTATTTATAACTTTCTTGTGTCTGTTTCAAATGTTCCACTACTAACGACTCACGTGTCCACCACATTCAAATGACTTATAGGAAAATCTACATAGGTAAATCATGGAAAATGATATTACTCGTATGAATAATTCAGTAGGCGTTTGCTTGTAATTGTTTATGGATTGTGTTTGCCTATTGGTATTTGTGTTGTAATAAAATATAAAGTAGTTTTTGCTTGCCATATGACGAGATACATCCACATAACATAGTTTGTTTGAAACGAATATTTTGCGCCCGAGAAGAGTTCGTGTAACAGTTTGAGCTTGCAATAAATAGACCATGAATTCAACAATGGTCGAGGTTCACAGGCGTCGTCGAATATGCGGAGTCCCCGTGGACTTTTTGCCTTTTCTCTCCATCTAATCGAAAAGTTCTTGCCCGTTTCGATTCACCGTTTGTCTTGTCAGTCTGCGGGGCCGTTACTTAGGCACGGTCGCCTCTTCCCCAATGAGTTATTTGTTACCCTATTGTGTCGCTACGTTGATCACTGTCGCATTGTCCTCCCACCTTTTGTTTACATTCGCCCGATAGTAGTTTGTTTATAAAAGGTGCTGTTATTATCTCCCCCGTCACATTGTGTTTCTTTTTAAAGTTAAAACATTTGTTCGTTTTCCAGTTATCGAATGTTTACGCATTCAGAGACTTAAGTCGTGCTTATAATACAATACAATAACAGTCGTGATTCCGATTCGTTATCGGCGTTCGGATAGTAGAGAAACTTATTTATGTTACGTCAGCCCACTCGTTTTGCATGCGATTAGATTATGCCGGCATTATTTGATGATAAGTTATTCCAAGGTTTCGATATTGTTCGGTTTTATTTTAAATTTAAAACTAGTTCGTAGGTACCTATAATGAGCTGTGAATGATGGATTCAGCAATAGTCTGTGCAAGTGGGGCATGCTGTCTTATTTAAATCTAGTTTCAAATTAGTTAATTATAAATTTAGTAGTAGGAAAACGTGTGGGCCAGTTTGCCCCGAGAAACGCAGTTCTGCTTAACTAGAACCGGTTCCACCTGTGAGTAATCGTCCGGTGTATTAAAAATGGCCGCCGGTATGCCGCAACCTTATCGTAACAAATTATCATCGGGTAATTTATCCGAGATGAAATCTTCCGCGCGCACTTCCCGTCAGAAGCAGGGAGGCAGTTTTGAAGTATGTTTGCTTTTCAACAGACTTAAAAAAAAGGTAGAGATTATCAATTAGGTTGTATTTCTTTTTCCATATCACCTCAGAACTCCGTCATTTATGAAACGAAAAATTCTTTTTGCATCAAGTTCGTTTTAGCTCCCCTGTAGTTTGATATAAATTTCATTCTTATCATGGAACTCCTCAAAATTAAATGAAAATATATCAAGTGAGTGAGACATTTGGAGGTTTTGTTTTTTTATGTAACAAAAATGTACTTATTAATGGAATGTATCTTCCTCTGTTTGTAAACGGTGCGAATGATTATTTATGCGATTATGTAAATCGGACGGTCATTAACAGCGCCTCATTAGAATTCCATTGTTGCACGGCCGTCACGCAACACGGCTGTTTCTTGAAGATATCGTGTCGAATTTCGAATTAGGTACCCGCTTTATTGTAATCTGTGTCATGAATACTTTTACGTGTTTCGTGGCAATCTAATTATACGGTTAGAGAAGTTGAATTACCAGTGCGAGATTTGAATACATTTGGGCCTTTCGGGGAGATTTTTCATTAGTTTCGTTGAGTAAAGTAGAGCGGGCTTAATTGAGGCGGACCGTTGTCGACCTTCGAAAGCGATATAGCGTATAAATTTGATACTGTGAGCCGAAAGTATTGGGGCGTCGCGTTTACGCGACTTTGCTCCCGGTTTGGTTTAAAGCCAAGCATCCCGTCAGCGCGCTGAGGGTTTGGACGGAGCCCAGGCGTCATTCAAGAGCCGCACTCTTGCCAACTTTGCCGACGCAGAACAACTCAACCCAACCCAACGCACCCACGCGCCATCTACATCGCCGCGCGATGCCATCTTCCTGTTCCGGTTCGCGACACCCGTAATAAACTTTGCGCAACGGAACGTGACTCCGATAACTTATTCTCGTCACGCAGACCGACGCCAAGGCCGATTTATAAGTCTCCACGGCGGCTCGTGCGACTGTGAAAGTCTCTGATGCAATTATTATCAACGCCTTCAAGGCTCGCTCACAAACGCTACCCTGATTTCGGTACGGTATTTTGTATAATAAACACATTTCGATCGTACGATTTTTTTTCTTTACATAACTTGTAAAATTTAAGATTCAGTCAATAGTATATCCGCATAGGAAATTTAATGGGGAATGAATACTTTTAACAAATGTTATGTATATGGGACGCATTAGGTCGTCAGTCTCTGCGCGCGAGATTTAAATTGCCCGTTGATTTATTGAAACCGGTTTCATCCGCATACGTGCATATTTCCGCTAACAGCGTGGGCGTAGTGTGAATGAGCTAATGTTGGCTCCGCTCCAAGCGTGTCTTCTTAGATAGCGCTGATGTCAATTGTTGGCGCGCATGTTGCAAATTTAATGTGCATCCGAACTTAGCCCCGTTCTCCCGTTGTTGCAGGTGCCGAGGGCGCGAGTGATGCCGCGGACGCCGGCGCGCCGAGCGTAGAGTGTGCGAAACACGATTCAGTGAGTGAGGGAGCGTTGCGCGCGAACAGCGTCAACAGTGACGAGCAGGGCCGTGGTGAAGTGAGTGTTCCCGGTGGCGGTGCGGGCGCGGATGGTGTTGCCAGCGCCGTGGCCTCCGAGGAGGACGACTGTGTGATTGTGTGCGCGCGCGATGCGGACGAGAGGTCAGACTCGGGCGTGAGCGGGGTGCGCTCGGGCGGTTCCGCCAGCTCGGTGGAGGAGCGCGAGTGGCGCGGGATGGCGCACGGCTACGGCGGGGGGCCCCCGCCGCCGCTGCTGCACCTGCCTCCGCCGCCGCCGCCCACGCTCTACCCGGGCGAGCTGCTGTGGAAGCAGCAGCAGCGCTACCAGCCGCCGATGCACGCGCCGCTGCACCACGCGATCGCCGACGACTACCTGGCCGCCGCGACATACGACAGAGAGAGACATGAAAGACTGCTACGGTGAGTCGATCGTACCTATGTGTAGTGTGTTACGATTTTTCGGCACGTTTCGAGTCCCCGTGAACACCGAATGTATTATCGATTGCCCGGAATTTGCACTACTTATTTATAGATGTAAGAAGGTGGCAAGCGAGCTGGCAGTTCACCTGATGCTAATTGATGATCCGCCGGCCATGGACATTTGCAACAGTCCGTACGGTTGCAGATCTTTTAATAAAATGGGCTCCGGCTACATCACTCGCCAGACGATATGTAGAAGTGTATTACTTCTACTTCCGACCGGTCTTCTGCGAGGTCGTGATGTTTCCCCGGTGGGACCTACACATTCGTGTTCCAGCGTAGGTTATTTTGTGGTCCTACCACAGCTAAAATTATTCTAGTCTTCATTTATTACGCTAAAATAATTTTAGTCGGCGGTCTCTTTCATGTTCAAAATAGTTTAACGCGGCACTAGGACTTTCCCACAGCATTTTATGCACTCGTTGGCCTGTTTTCAAAGAAAATAGGATTATTTTTAGCGTCAAAATTCTAATTCAGCGTTATAATATTTTTTGAATTTCAATCCAATACTTCATTCAAATACGAACAAGTTGTCTATAACTTATGCACATTCATATTACGGTTGTAGTGTTTTATTTATTAAACGAACTAGAATGCGTGCTTTTAAATAAAGGTCTTCGTCATTCGTAACTCATGTCTGTCATGAAGATGCTTTAGAAATTATCATGAACAAACAATTAGGTCGTGTAATTGCGCTATTATTTACTCCTATTCTAGACTAAATACTTTCACTCATAGAATACTAAACATGTTTTAATTGTTTAGGAATTCTTTTTAATGCGACGAAACCAACTCAAAACTCTCATTTTTGTATGTCTGTACGAGTGGAATTTTGTAATTAATTTTAAACTATTTTCCCGGTGAGCTAGATACTTGAAATATGGTCCGTGACAATGACTACATAGTACACAAGAAAGTCGTCCCACTGTCTGTCTGCCCTATGTATGCTTAGATCTTTAAAAACTACGCAACGGATCTTAATGCGGTTTTTTTTCTAGGAGTTATTCAAGAAGAAGGTTTATGTGTATAATACATTACCATGCGAATACATTACCGTGCGAAGCCGGGGCGGGTCATTAGTATTTTATACAATATACATATTAAGCTGTTAATAAATTTTAAGCTGTGCCGAATCATTTTAACTTCACACTTTTCTCGCCCGGTCGTTTATAATTAATTAATTTAGAGTAAATTATTTTACTTTAATACAAAGACTATGACTTGCATACAACTTTTCAAATGTAGAACATTATATTTTCTGATGCCTTTGTGTATCTTAATTGACGAGGCCTTTAAGCATTTCCAAAATAGGTATATTATTGTTACTGTGCCTGTATAGAAAGTATTAGTTCTAATGAATTTTAAACAGAGAAACGTTTTCAAATTGTTTGTAGTATTTCAGTTTAATTTCTTTTTTTCAAGCATCCTTAGAGTCAAGTCTAGAGACTTACACAGATCGTGGTACCCATTGAAATAAGCCGCGTAATTGTCAAATATATCGTAATAAAGTCTATTGAGCAAAAACCGGTTTAAACATAAAAAGCGCTTTGGAACAACAAGCCATTAAGTTAATTATGCTCGCGTGTTGCGCCGAGAAATTTCCCGTCGACTTTTAAATGAGGCATTTGCGCAAGCGAGGGTCCCCACTTGTTACGTTATGTCACGTCGTGCGAGACCTTGGACGGAATGAATGGTTGATATTAAATTAATTTATCATCTCGTTCGATATACTTAAAGGTGAATAATAAAAGAGCAAGACTAATTCGATGCCCGGCTGAAGTGTTTTCTCGCTGCGATACTTGCGTAATTTACACCCATTTAATTTAATGTTTTATTTTGGCGGCGATTTAAAGACCCGGTTAATTTGTTATTTGAAAAAGTTCTTTACCGTTCAACGTTTGTAAGTAATTTTTGTTATAACTATAGGAAAAGGTTAAATAAAATAATTTAGCCCTTAAGGGTATTTCCTTATAGCTAGCGCATTACAATGTGGTTACTTATTACAATTTGTTGACAAAGTCCTATTTGTGAGGAAACATTTTGTAGAATTAATCATTCAAATTCGCTGTTAACCGCATGATTTGCGTATGTGAGTGCGTCATTTAATTGCTTTATTTATTAATATTAATAATAACGTTTATTTGCATAAAACAAGGTATAGAGATGTTACAAACAGTTATAGTACAACATGTCTTGCCGCGACAATACGAAGCATGCAAATATAAAAAAATAAAAATAATTTAAAATCTGCAATATTTAAGATTTCTTGGACATAAAATCATTAATATTTTATATTTTGTCTAGTCTTTAGGTCTTTAAATTGTATTTTTTTTTGTAAATAAACGAACAAAAACTTTTGGCGCTGCGGGATTCGACCGTACTAACCAAAGCGTCCGTTGACCTCACGGCGCGAATATCTTGACATTTATCTACGTTCGTTCTATTGCATTTATGGCAATGCATGGCGCATCCAGTGCAGGAGCACCCTTTACAGGCAACACTTTACAAATAACATTCAACTTATTATTTGTAATTAGAGTTATGAGTAATTTTGGATTAAAAAAAATCGTTATATATTTTACTAAATATTTTCTTAAATAACAAAGGAAAATATATTATTTACATTACTGACTATCACAATTATAAAATTTACCATGTATAAATAGGCAATATGAAGACTAGATGCACCGAGATTCGATATGAATTAAATTTTTAACTGTATATAAATGTTGAGTTCAAAAGTGCTGTCAATAAGGATTTAGACACAAAAAAATACTATACAGTTTTTATTGTACAATTTTGTTGTCCGGCTCAAATATTTAATTGAAAACCATACTTCTCTAATGGTTCCATATAATAACTTATGTGAAGTCCTACTTGTATCCATTTAGATATTAACTTGTCTGCTTCATCATTATATTATTAGACATAAATATTCGAGATCAAAAAAGAATGATAAAATATAATCGCAATAACGTTTTACAATGCTAATGAGTTGTTTTCGATCATCATCTTAAAATAGTTTTTCGGGAAAATCCGGTTGTCCACGTTAATTAAATGTTTGCATTTGCTGATATAGGTCATGTTGTTTCTTCATAAGTTTGTCATCCGATTTCTTTTTTTCGTGGACAAAATTTAAACCGCTTACTATTTCATTAATATTTGTCAATTATTAAAATGTGTAGGTGCTAGCTAGGTAGGTTATAATCAGCGTATAGTTTTGATCGCTCCATGTTTAACTAAAAACTTGATTGGCGCTAAAATAAACCGATGACTGCTAAAGATAGAAGCTTTTGTTAGTTCAACTTGGACCATAGGTATAGATGGAAAAGGTTACAAATGTTGGTTACGAAAACTCATACCTTAAAAATCATTACATAGTATAAAACAAAGTTGTCCAACTGTCTGTATGTCCCTATGTATGCTTAGATCATTTAAACTACGCTATGAATCTCGATGCGGTTTTTTTTAACTAGATAGAGTGATTAAAGAAGAAGGTTTGTATAATACATTGCACCCATGCGAAGCCAGGGCGGGTCGCTAGTTATATGATAAATCTATACTAATTTAATAAAACTGAAGAGTATGTGTATGTTGTCAACATGAATCACGCTACGACCTTACTGGGGTGAAGCAGAAACGTTCCTCGCGAGTGAAATCGCATATAACAGCTACAGTCGAACCGGGATAAGAGAGAGAGTTCAAGAGACCACAATCACTCTTAATCAATCATTTCTTATGGAGGTTTATCACTAACCTGAGTTTCTAGCTTACAGAGGTGCGGAAATGGCCTTTATCAATCAAAGAGGTTAAATAAATGGTACAGAAAATATTCTGTGAAAAATTGTATGTATGTATAAATTAAAATTGTATGTATTACATGACATAACGTTGACTAAAAAAATCTTACACCGATTTTGAAAAATCCGTTACTTTTTCAAATTTTAGTCTAAGTTGATCTCTGTTATGTTTAATCCATTGTAAAAGACTTGTTTTTTTCAATATCGGGAAACTCGGAATGTCGAAACTCCTTAATATGTTCGTGTCCCTCAGAGCATTGAGACTTGTCTTTTGACTTAATAATTTTATAATAGGTGGATTTTAGTGGTCCAAACTCACTCTTAATTTCATTATGCGATTTGGGAAATCTTAAACGCATTGCTTAAACACGTCACTTTAAAAGACATCACATAGGATCGAATCTTCCTTCGCTATTGATATTATTCAACTTCACTGACTAATAATAAAAGGGCTAAATCTGTGCAAACACAATATAAGTCAGTACTTACGATATGTTCACCTAAATTTTAGAAAATAAACAGTACAGCTCCTATTTAGGATTTATTGTTTATTAAGTTACGTTATTGTTAAGTTCATAAAAATTTAACAATGTATCATAAACATAAATAAATAGCCTGTACATGCTGGGCTGTCGCTTATAAAGTTTAGGTGAATAATAGTCTCAGTTATAGAGGCCCAAATATCTGAGGGTCCACGACTCTCTCTCTTATAGAGGCTTGTAGTTTTCATTCATAGAGGTTTTTGAGGCTAAAAATTACGGGACCGAGCAAATACTCTCACTTATAGAGTTTTCTCGCTTAGCCAGTTCTCACTTACCAAGGTTTGACTGTACTGCCAAATAATTAGTCTATTTCTTTTAAACATTAAATATTCTGTAAAGCTTTGACAAATTTGAGAGATTTAATTTGTCCTATCTGTTTTTTTTTCTCAAATAATTTGGTAATTCTATATACATATATATTACATTTCATTTGCGTAATTATACTTCATGAGTCAACAGTTTTAACGGAAACCGTCGTACAAATCTTACAAAGCCAAACAACTGATGTCATATCTCTGGTGCGCTTACTGTTTGTTCAATTGATTACAGCATGTAGTTTATTCGCTTTTTATTAAAGAAAAGTAATTAATTGTTTCGATTTTAATGGTTTTATTATAATAACCTCCGGCCCATGAAATTACTTACCAAATGTCAGAACATTTAACTTGCTCATGATACATAATGCATGACATTTTTCATAGTGGCACTATCTAATCGCCACCGTTATTAGTGTAATTGATGATTACCACAGATGATACTTGATATTTGATGAAAACCTCAAGAGTCTGAGCCACACCACAGATGACACTTGACATTTGATGAAAAACTCAAGAACCACAAAAGGACTAAGCTTAAGTCTCAATTGAATATCGTTTTATCAATTAATGATAATAGGTCTTAAATAAACCATAGACCATAGACCAACAAAAAGTATGTAGTAATATTATACGGGAATTATTTTTTAAAGTTTTTTTATAGTGCTAATCTCTGCACTTAAGATTGAACATTAAAACATGTAGAAAAAGTACGATAAGATTGTCGCCGCTGTGGGAATCGAACCCACGTCTTCGGCATTCGCGGCCTGACGCTCTAGCCACTGGGCTAAACGGCTGATTGCCACAGCGACGAAAATCTTAACGCCTTCTTTCTACATTGTTATTTAGCATTTGAAAGGGAATTATTTTGTCTATTTCAGTATTTACATTTTAGATGACTACAAGGCACTGATGAGAATAAGTAGAAGCGTTATTATTAATCATGTAATATAAAATATGTATATCTTAACTTTATTATCCTTAACATGCAATATAAAATTGTTGAGAATTCTTTCCAACGCGTGAGATAACCACAACGTATTTTTTACATATGTTAACGTGGTTTGTTTGCACAAAGTTTGATAATAATATCTTATTATTTTTTAGTATAACGCTTATCTGTATAACTTATTGTGTACGATAATAAATTGATATATAACATGGCAGTCGTATAGCGGATACGGAAAGAAATGTACAAAAAAATATATTCTTTTTTGAACTATGACATTTATCAAAATCGTTCTTTGTTCATACTTTTCGTTTTGCGTATTGTTTAAAACACAAATACTGAGCTTTTAATTTGACGTTCCGATGAAGTTGATAACATTGTATGAATAAAATTCATTTGCAAGGCTGTACTTGATAATACATATCTACTGAATTGAAAACAACGTATGCCCTCTCAGCCTTGTTTACGTAAAACGCTAACACTATCTATACACGTGTTATAATTCTTAGGAATTATTTGTCATATGGTTGATGCAACAATTTTGTAATATTTGCCCCGTTTAGTGCGTACATTTTTTGAATTATATTGATTTTATGGACAAACTCAAGCTTGCCAATTTCATTTATTTTTATATGACTTAACATATTTCATTTTCAGCATTACAATAATCATTACGACAGCTGTGATAGGTCAATGTCTGCTTGCTCGCTTTTAATTTCTTACAAATGAGCAGAGTTCAAATCTTGGTGCTTGCACCGTAACAGAAATTTTAATAGCTGAATTATCTAGTTCTCGTTATTGGTAAAGCTTTTGCCCAGCCCTAGAGTGTGTTTAAGCTGTGATTAAAAAAATGTTGTAATAGAAAGAAAGAAAGAAAGAAATGTTTATTTGGTACAAAAAACAAACAACTTAAAATAACAAAACATTGAAAAATTATCAGTCGATGCACCAAAAAGGTCACCCACTCAGCATTACATTGCGTAAAAAATTTCGCGATTGCTGGTTTTCAGTAGAGGAATAGGAAATCTATGTTATTTTCTTATAAATTAACTTACATGTTTCTGAAAAAAAAAAACAGCTAAATCATTTGAATTGTACACACACGTTGAAATAGATAGTTTAAATTTTAATTTATTATATTTAATATTCAATTAATATCAATGAGTAACATTAAATGCTTTCGAAGTTGATATTGGCAAAAAATTGATTTGACCTTTGCTTACAAATGCATGCCTGTGACCTTCAGTATTATTACGGTGTTGCTTTAGGAACGATTATCAATGCAAAATATTTATCTTTTAACAACCATATAAAGACCAACTGTTTTGTTAAGTTTGAAAAATTGGTTTGAATATAAACAGTGTATGATTAAAAAAAAATCTGTGGTGTTGTATAGAATAATATCATATCTTGAAATTTATTTTAGATTTAATTTCAATAAATAGTAATATGTAGATCAAGTACATAATACAAAATTATATTACTATCTTATTTTACATTTCCTAATATTACTCATTCCAATCTAATTTAATTTACTCACTTTTCTGATTTTTCCTCTGGTATTTAAATAGGTTTTTGATCAATTTACATAAATGGTTTCAATCTTACAAATGATTTTTATTTCGTTTCGTGCACTCGATGATATTGGGACTTCTCAAAACTTATGGTATTTATTTGGGATTCTATTTTCATGAATAAGAATAATTATTAATATTTTTTTTTGTTTACAGAGAAAGAAGGGAACAGGAGCAACAGGCGATGCTGGAAAAGCAGCAGAAAGAAAAAGAGAGGGAACGGATGGAACGTGAGCGCGAGAGAGAACGCGAAAGAGAAAGGGAAAGGGAAAAGCAAGAAAGGGAAGAAAAAGAAAGAAGAGAACAAGAGAATGCCGCATCAAAACTTGTTTCGAGACATTTCGAGGAATCTCTTAGACTGGCTAATCAAAAGGTTAATATTATCTCAAAATTTCACCAATGAAATTGTGTAATTAAATTGTTTATAGTGCTAATCTCTGCACTTAAGATTGAACATTAAAATTTGTAGAAAAATAAAGAAAAGTTTGTCGCCGCTGTGGGAATCGAACCCACGTCTTCGGCATTCGCGGCCTGACGCTCTAGCCACTGAGCTAAACGGCTGATAGCCACACCGTCGAAAATCTTAACGTCTTTTATCTACATTATTTTTTAGCATTTGAAGCAATGCTTGATGCATCCATTGTTATATCCTTTCCAGCATACAAACAATTTCGAATATCGTTTTTTACATCGATAATTCGAACGAGAGATGTCGCCATTGCTTCTTAGAAATTTAAATATATAATTTCGAATATCGTTCATTCGTTGCCGCGAATGCCGAAGGCATGGGTTCGATTTCCACAGCGGCGACAATCTTTTCGTCTTTTTTCTACAAATTTTAATGGTCTCTTAAAATTACTTAATTTGTTAAACAACAGCATTCTATGAAATCAGACTTTAAACATTTAAATTTGTTCAACAGCGTGAGCGCAGCATGTCGCAGCATGGAGCATCGTGGCCTCTACTGAACAGCCTCTCCGGCCGCGGGGTGGGGCCCGTCGGCGGAGTCGGCGTCAGCGCCGCTGACCACGAGCGACTGCGAGCAGACGCGCGCTACTACTCGCCGCCGGCCGATTACAACCCGCACGCCCCGCGCCACGCCATCCCCAAGCCTGACAAGTCCCATCCAGGCCTGCCCAAGGGGGAGCCCAACTTCGCTCCCTACAACTATCCCCCCTATCGAGGCTACGAGAAACTAAAGGACCAGCACCTCCCGGCGCCTCCGCCACTAGTGCCCGAAAAGAACTCTGTGATAGTAAAGCACGACGCCAAACAAATCCACCTCGAACAGAAGCATCCGTACCCTAGCAAGCCGCGGAACGAGCCGTCTCACTACCTGCCGCGGCCGCACCGGACGGGGCTGTCTCCGCACGCTCCGCCCCATCCACACCCGCACCCGGCGCTGCAGACCTCGCCACACGCGGCGCTACCGGCTCAGGACAAGTCCCGGCGGATGTACCAACCGCCTCAGCGGTCGCCCGCCTATTACCAGACGGCGCCGGTGAAGCCCAAAGTGTCTAGTCCGGCGCCGCCGCACATCTACGGCAAGCCCGGCAACTCGCCCAGCCCCGCGCACTACACCGTCGCCGTGGAGCCACCGCCACTGCAGCTCACGAAGGCGGAGCCCCCTCCGGTGCCCTACCCGCCGCCGTCCGCCTACTCGCCCGCGCCGCGCACTCGCCCGCCGCCCGTCGCGCACTGTCGCAACCCACCCGAGCCACGAGCCGCTCCTCCGCGGGCGCACGGCGATCGGGCCTCGCCCTCGATGGCTGCCTGTCAGACGCAACCGCTCGATCTCGGCATCGCGCGCGACGACCCCGAAAGGCTGTCGCCTCGGCGCCGCTACCCCTTCGAGCCGGCGGACGCGGACGCTAAACGGCGGCGTATGGACGAGCTGCCCGCACCCGAGCCGCTTATAGCGGCCGCGGCGAGCGTGGGCCGCACGCCGCTGGGCTCGGAGCCCGCGCCCCAGGCGCCCGGCCCGCCCTGCGACGTGCGCGTGCCCTCCGCGGACGGCAGCGTCGAGACGCCCGAGAAGGCGGCCGGCGCCTCGCCCGCGCCGCACCTCACGCCCGCAGCCAGCCCCGCCCCGCCGACGCCCGTGCCGCCCGCCTCCGCCTCGCCGCCCATGACGGCGCCCACGCCGCCCGCGCCGCCGGCCACGCCGCCCGTCACGCCGCTCGCCGACAACGACACCCCGGCCAAGGTGGCGTCGCCCAGCCAGCGCGACACCGCGGCGCCCGTGCGCCACCTGGGCAAGAAGGCCTGGCTGCAGCGGCACGAGACGGCGCCCATCGGGGAGGGCGACTGCTCCGGGGGAGGCGGCACCTGCATCACCCTGCCCATGACCATCAACCGCGCCTCCGAGCCCGACGACTCGAGCTCGAACATCGTCGTGCCCGTCGCCGCCAAGTCGATCCAGCGCGGCGCGCGCAAAGCCTCCAAGCCGCGCAAGCCGAAGGAGCCCAACGGCCGAGTCGACGACGCCGAGGAAGACAGCTCCAGCTCGGACCGCGAATCGAACGCGCCGCCTAAGCGGAAACCGCCGAAGGCGAAGCGGAAAAAGGGCACGCTGCCGCGGAAGGTGGGCGACGAGCCGAAGAAGAAGAAGGCGTCCGAGAGCGGCAGCGAGAGCGACAAGGAGAGCGACGACAAGGACTCGGACTCAGGCGCGAGCGGCAGCGGCAGCGGGAGCAACTCGAGCAAGCGCGGCGGGGGAAGCCGCGCGCGCGGGCGGCGCTCGCGGGGCGGCGGGCGCGGCGGGCGCAGGCGCGACGAGCCGCGCCGCCGCACGCCGTCGGCCTCGGCGCGCGCGGCCGGCGAATCGTTCCTGCAGAACGGGCCCTGCTTCGAGGTGGCGCCGCGGCTGGCCAAGTGCCGCGAGTGCCGCTGGTCGCCCGCGCAGCGCGACAAGGACATGCCCAACATCTTCTGCCGCTTCTACGCCTTCCGCAGACTGAAGTACGCCAAGAACCGGCAGCTCGCCATCGCCGGCTTCTCAGACCCTTACAAGGACGCAGAGGAGGTAGCTATTACTTCTAACTTAACGATCTCAAAGACTATAAGCAAAAGCATAAACTTCTCATCATCCCTCATCATCCTCCTGTCTGTATACCACCTAGGTTCGATCGGCACAACATGTGAATCATGTTGTAAGCGGTTTTGGTTATGATTTTACGACCGGCCGCCTGCCTGATGCCAACCCTCCTTGGGAAACAAACACTTAGAGCTGGGACAATTATTTGTAATTCACACAAATACTGGTCAAATACTGGTCCTGTGTGGCAATAGCTTAGCCATAAAGTCAAAGCATAAAATTAGTACTAATAATTGTGAATTATTTTTTTCTGTTATATTTTAACAGACATGATACATAAATATTCTATACATTAACTTCATCTGTGTAATCCAACTTATTGAAAAATAGTTTTACAAATCGGTAATTGTTAATTTTCGTTTGCTTTAGGAGGACAGAAAACTTTGGCTGTCATCCTCTGCCGGTGCAGCGGAATTAGACATCGAGATGAGCTGCTTCCTCTTACGGGAGATCGGGGATCAGTTCTGTGAACTGTTGCAGCAAGAGAAAGAGGCTGAATCCCACCACCTTAATGAAGGTAAACATTTTATGCTACTATGTTTTCTTTATTATATTTCACATCTAAATTATCATTAATTACATTATCTAAGAGATGCTAATGATGTTTAAATTGCTCTAAATACTAAACCCTTTCGTTTGTATTGTATTTATGATATTGCGTACGTGTCATAATATAATTCTCACTATTTGCAAAATTACGCCACACTTTGCAGATATTTCATTTGACATTTTGAATTAAGACAAACATTCAACCAGTTTTCATGTCTCAATAAAAGTAACTTTCTTTCGCAGACAAGACAATAGCGTGGAAACGTGTCGTCCAGGGAGTTCGCGAAATGTGCGATGTGTGCGAAACGACCTTATTCAATTTCCATTGGACATGCGGGAAATGTGGTTTTGTCGTATGCCTCGACTGCTATAAGGTGAATGTCATAATTGAATTGTTCTGTTAATATTATCCATATGTCTCTCGGACTTTATTTTGTTCGTGTCGTAAATTTAGAGTGATATATTTAAGTTATACATTTGTTAAACCAGGAATAAATAATGTTATAATAATCGTTAACTAGAATTGGAGAGGCCTATTTTTCATATCAAATTGCGCCGTTACGATGCGCATACTTTACAAAAATTGCGTACAAATAAGTGCGTGGCCACGATGAAAATTTATTACTATTTTTGAATCCTTTTGAGTTACAGTGAAATTTTATTAATTTCATTTTGATTTTTCTTAGTCACGGACGTCGGGTGAATCTGGCAACTCCAGTAGCAGTGAATCAAACAGCTCAAGTACTGCTTCTACTAATGGCGAAAGGGATTCCTTCGGGTAAGAATTTTAATTTATCATTTAATATATATTTAATAATTTGCAAGTATTCATATTTATTTATATTATATTATAAACGTTTTACATCTATAGGATAAATGTAAAACGTTAATAAAAACAAAACATAAACATTAATATAAAATTTCTTTAGGTCCAAGTCGGGTTTATTACTACTATTAATTACATGGAAAATCACAATTTTCTGTCCAGCAAAAAACACACACAACCCATAAAGCTTACGGTGAGCTGGATTTTTAACAGACCATTCAACCCGTTTGTTACAGCTATAGCTAGTCCTAGTCGTTTTTCATTATCTATAATGAACAGTCAGAAACTGATAAATTATCCTACCTTATAACCAATCTGTTGTAGCAGGGCTAGCGAACCATATAAAGCTTCATATAGCGAAAGTGCGATTAAAAATAATAAACATGGGTTGCACTCCGTGAGTGCCGACAGAAGTGAAAACTTCTTTTGGCGCGTTAGACATTTTTCAGATAAATATATATAAATAATTTTGATTCGAAGTTATTTAAATATCTTGCGAATACCGCATCAATTGCACTTTTATATCTCGTAGTGCTAATATGTGCGTTGATTGGACATAGTAAAATGAAATTCTCTATTCAAAAATTCAATCAACCAAACACTACAGCTGCGTCTCGCAACGGTGTCGCGAGTCCAGAGATTTTATCTCATGTAAAAAAATTAAAAAGAAATCGTAACTTGCAATTGAGTGTGCGTCTGTTTGTGTGCAGCTGGCTGACGTGCACGAGCGGCGGCGCACACCCCGCGCGGCGGCTGCTGCTGACGCAGATCGCGCCGGGCGGCGTCCTGGCGGCGGCGGCGAGGAGGGCGCACGAGGCGCGCGCCGCCTTCGCGCTGCCCGCCTGCGCCTGCGGCCACAGCGCCGCGCCGCGCGCCAAGGACCGCGCGCTCGCCAAGGCGCTGCTGCAGCGCGCCCTCTCCAAGGTGAGCTGGCCGCACGTACACATGCACACCCGGTTGACGCACACGCAGCACACACGCGCACGCCCCTACGCGCACCGGTTGACACACACGCACACACGTACACGCGCACGTCCGTACGGGCACCGGTTGACGCACACGCGTACGCGCGCTCGCCCGTACGCGCACCGGTTGACGCACACGCACACACGTACACGCGCGCGCCCGCACGTGGTAGGGCAACGCGGCAGTGTTCTGCTCTTGCACGAATTGCCAGGCTCGTTCGGATAAATAGGTGCCACGGCAGTGTTCTGCTCTTGCACGAATTGCCAGGCTCGTTCGGATAAATAGGTGCCACGGCATCACGGCCTCACTTTCACGTTCCGCTTGGCCAGACAGAATGCGATTTCTTTAAAAAAACTCACTAAGTATTTGTCAATACGATTTTTTTAATTTATCATATTAATCAGCTACAGTACTTGTCTGCTCTCCAACTATAATGTTTCTATAAGTGAAGGCTTGTTATTGGCTGTTTGTCATCTAGTTTAGGGTTAGTTAGATTTGAATAGCTGTAAGTCTTCCATATCGTAAATAAATTAATAAATAAAAAATGGGATTTTTGAAACAAATGTGAATACACGGTTCAAGTACAAACTATACATCCATAAACATGCACAGTATTTACATAACATAGAAACTAAAAGCATTGCATAACATAAAGACATTATGTAATATCTATTTCGTCCTTACACGCACGTGTTTATCAGTTCAAACGCGTTATATTAATACATTTTAATATTACTTCAATGAATAATCTTATTATGAATTCATTAAGTTAATACGTTAAATTGCATGAATAATTTGCTTGTGCCACAAATAAAGACATAGATTCTAAATGTAACTAAATGTATACTCATTGTTTAGATGAAAACTACTTTTAAATAAAATTAGTTTTAAAATAGCGTATTTCTGTTTATCCACAGAACATTAAGAAAGAGGAAGTGAAAGAGGAGAACTCGACAAACGGTTCGTCGCCAGTGAAGTCTGAAAATGGTAAAACCACTAGTAGCTCTGTTGTCAGCTGGTTGTCAGATATACCAATGAAAACTGAGGCTGAGAAAGAAGAAAAATCAGATAGCAGTTCCTCTGACTCTGAAGAGAGTGGCAATTTCTCAACGCTGCGCGAACTTCTGATAAGACCTGCACCAGAAGGGGGCGAGACGCAGCCGAAGAAAAAGCAGAAGAAAAACAAGGGAGATCTATTGGATGACGTCATATCTAGTGTAGTAGAACAGAAGAAAGACGAAGACGGAGAAGAGAAACCCTTTGCCTTGTCCAACGTAGTGAAACGCTATGACAGAGGTGGCCGTGGCGTGGATGACCTCCCTATACGCATTATGACCCTCACCGAATCCAAACTTCTGTATCCTGATGTGCCTCATGCCTGGCTTTGTGACGGAAAGCTTTTGCATCTAACCGATCCCGCGCACACTGGCAACTACAAGCCATTCCAGGTGAGAGAATTGTCAAATAAAACAGTTAATGAGTTAATAAAAATATGTTCTCCTAATCCTCCAAGTTACTAATTTTTCTTTATAACTGACAGTTAAATTTATTATTTGAATCTTATTTTAACAGGACCAGTGGAAACGAGGCCAACCAGTTCTAGTCTCCGATGTATCCAGCCTCCTAGAGAAGGATCTCTGGAGTCCCGAGAGTTTCTCCCGCGACTTTGGCGATACCCGCGTGGATCTCGTCAACTGCGCCTCGGGCCTGGTGGTGCCCAATCAGCCCGCCAGAAAGTTCTGGGACGGCTTCGAGCTCGCCGAGAAGAGGCTGAGGGACGAGCGCGGCGCCCCGATGGTCCTGAAACTGAAGGACTGGCCCCCGGGCGAAGATTTCGCCGAGCTGCTGCCGGCGCGCTTCGACGACCTGATGCGCGTGCTGCCCCTGAGCGAGTACACGTCGCGCAACGGGAAGCTGAACCTCGCCGCGCGGCTGCCCGAGTGCTTCGTGCGGCCCGACCTGGGCCCCAAGATGTACACCGCGTACGGCGGCGCCGGCGGCACCACCAACCTGCACCTGGACGTGAGCGACGCGGTGAACGTAATGGTGCACGCGAGCGTGCCCGTGGACGCGCAGGAGCGGGCGCGCGAGGCGACGCGCGCCGCCGAGGAGGCCGGCGTGGACGTCCTCTCGCGGCGGAGGGCGCGCGTCAAGCCGCCGGCGGCGCTGTGGCACATCTACGCGGCGAAGGACGCCGACAAGATCCGCGACTTCCTGGTGCGCGCCGAACTGGAGCGCGGCGCGCGGCCGCGGCCGCAGCACGACCCCGTGCACGACCAGACGTGGTACCTGGACGCGGCGCTGCGCGAGCGCCTCTACCGCGAGTACGGCGTGGAGGGCTACGCCATCCTGCAGTGCCCGGGCGACGCGGTGTTCGTGCCGGCCGGCGCGCCCCACCAGGTGCGCAACCTGCTCGACTGCATCAAGGTGGCGGAGGACTTCGTCTCCCCGGAGAACGTGTCGCGGTGCTTCGAGCTCGCGCAGGAGTTCCGCCGGCTGTCGCGCCAGCACGCCAACAAGGAGGACAAGCTGCAGATCAAGAACATCGTGTACCACGCGGTGAAGGACTCGCTCTGCTGCCTCGAGGGGGCCCTCGACGAAGCCAAGTGAAATCGACCGGCCTCCCCCCATTTGATCTCAACCTCGAACGTAACGTTAATCGCTAAGTTCCGCATTTAAACGTAAGATTGGGAGCGAGTGTGATACGCGCTGTGCGCCGTTCCGTGTAGATGCCATTAAGCGTATAAAGTGGGTCGTGCGCCGTTTGTGTGTTGTAAAATGTACTCGAAATGTGATTTAGTCCGGCGGTCGCGATCGGTGTATGTGCAATGTAAATTAGTCTGAATATGGTGATATTGTTGAGATGTGGATATGTTTTTATGTTCCTTAATTGAAATACAAAAAAAACTCTTCAGGTTATTTACAGCTTAATTGTAGTTATAGTGATATGTATGTATTGTGTAAATTTTTAATTCGAATTCCATCGAGTACATCTTAAGAAGTGTATCTTTTAAGTTATTGTATTGAATTAAAAACGTATTCGCTCGAAGCATTGTATATTAAAATACGGCGTGTAGATAAGTTTCTCCTATATTACTAGATTTCTCAATTTGTTTGGTATGTTACAAAAAAGTAATAGTTATACAAAATGTGACAATTTAATTTTGTCCTTTTGTGCTGTATTAGGCGAAAGCAAGTTTTTTTGTACTGTGTATATTATGTATGGTTATAAGTTGGAATAAAAAAAAGATGTTTATATTAAAAGTGGTTTTATTTCCTTGATCTTAGTTCAAAATAAGTACAGGTCTCGTTTTTACTGAATTAATCTTGGTTGTGATAAAATTAAGAAATTTTTTTCAAACATTTCTCAACAATAAATAATTTATTTGTTGTAATAATAAATATTAAAAGGAAATTATAGAAAAACTAAATAATGAATGCAAGAATTAACTTTTTTTTTTCTACAACCATGTTTTAAGAATTTAAATAAAATATTACCGTTGATATAATACCAAATGTGATGAGGTGGGATTTATACTTATTTTTTTTTATTTTCAATGGAACAAGAAATTATAATAGTAATGATACTTTCAACGATAAAAGGCTGTAAAAGACCTCTGGTACTTGTAAGTCAATTGTAAGGGCTAACATTTTAATATAAGGGCAAAAATCTCAGATACAAAACTTTTTATTAATTTATGCTTCATGAGTCAACTGTCGAATGTAGTTCTCCCCATAGGCTGCCACGAAGTACGATCCTGAGCCACTTGCATACATCGACTTCCTGCCTTCCTTGCGCAGGTCTTCACTCCATCTAGTGGGTTCATATTATAATAATCAGTTTTTATAGTCTTTTGTTTCTTTAAAAAGAGTGCTTGCTCCTCACGACGTTTTGTATTAACAATAGTGATAATAAATTATTGGTACATCTATTGAACAATTATTGTCTCACAAGATTTAGAGTATTTTTTGTATGTAAAATTCTTATTAGAAATCGAACAAATTTTTATTTTATACTTTATTAAATATTTGTTTCGCACAATTTCGTAATTTGTTTCGATAACCAGCGCCATCTATTGTGGAAAATAAATAAAAATTAACAAAATTTGTTATTGCTACTCGACGCAAGATGTCATTGTAAATATATAGTTTATCCCATCAAACTAAATAAAATTGAAATTTTGAGATAGTTTTAGATATTCTAACACAGATTATAAGAAATTTATTAGTTCTTGCCGCTTTAATTTATCCTGAAATTATGATCATGTAGGCATTAAGCATTAGGTCCAATATAATAAACGCTACTGTGGCTAAAAGGTCTACTAGGAGTCTCGTGCAGGAACTACTAACCTGTCAATTTTCTAAACAGTATAGGTGGTACCTTAAAACTTTGTGTAAGTAAATTTATTTTTTACTGTTTAGTTTCCTGTTTGGATTTTTTTTTGTTACAAATTATTTTATATTTTAGTAGATAACCCAAACTAAAAGAAAGTACATACGAGGATTAGGTAGCAGTAAAAAAAAAGCAAATACTTGGGGAATTAATACATGTTAAATCGAACACCATTTCATTAAATGTTTAAGGTTTTTTTCACAATACTACTGAATATGGTAGCAGTCTCGTAGCCCCTGCGCACCGAAGAGTTATCCCTAGGCAGACTTTGGATCGTATTCTATACACATCGTAAGCATCAACACCCCATAATGAATAACCCACGTTTCATCACTATGCGGATTTTCACCACAAAGCTCCAAAAACTCCTTTCTGAAGCGCCGTGAGCATTCGCGGCACCCATATTGCACTGACCGTTGACAGATTGAACTGCTCATGAAGGATATTGTGAATAGTACCCATGCATAGCTTAGTCCTTTCTGTTAATGTTTTCACTATTACACGGGCATATTCGAGCACAAACATTCCAACGATTTTGAAGTTTTCTTCAGTGTCACTACAGCAACCGGCCCACAGTCGCTAGCGTCGTCTTCAATACTCTCTCTACTCCGTTAGAATTCACTAGATCATTTATGAATAGTAGATAATGAAGGAACAGAATCTTGGTAAGTAATTTTGAGCTTGATCTTTTAGCTTTATTTAATTATGTGATGATGATTTTAAATCGGAAGCAATTTTAAATTTCAAAAACCATGCTGACCTAAAATCAGACAAGCAGCATTGTTATTGTAAGTGTAAACTCTCTTTCTCCTGCCCTTATCCCACACTAGGTGGGATCGGCACAACATGTCATTCCTTCCACAGACTACACTTTCTTCTATCATCATTCTATCTTCTATCTTCTTTCTTCTATCGTCATCTCAATACTCAACCCGGACATATTATTCTTTACACAGTCCATCCAAATCTTTCTTGGCCTTCCTCTAGCTTCTAGTCATATCTTTTATCCCTTCTCATAGCGTGCCCATACCATGTCTGTATTGTTAGTGTATTGTAAGTGTAAACATAATTTGTTTTATACTACATTTTTTGTTTCATATCATAATAAATTATAAAACAAAAAATTTATTGAATTAAAGGTGTATTTTAATGTAGGTATATAACATTAAAATTCACTGTGTATATCTATCTATACAGATAAATAAAATTGGAGTATCTGTTTGTAATATTAAAATAACCGCTTTTTACTAAATGCATATGGATAAAGCCCATGATATTAAAATTATCACTTTATTAAATGAGATGATTGATTTGAATAACTAAAATAACAAATGTTGTACAAATATTGAAAAATTCTAAAACAAGCCTCAAATTCAAACGGAACATGTTAAAAACTATCAATAGCTAAAGGCCATGTTTTGATAACCTCACCAAATACTTTAGCTTGTTTCCTCGTAACTTTCGGCAAGTTTTCATTGAATGTTATTTTATATAAAACAGTTTTAATATTATTCCTTACTGCGCAAATATTATCACAATAGTGAGTTATAATAATTAATGGAAACAACTCATTTAAACTAAACATAGTTATCCTTAACATCACTTTTACACCTTTGTAGTCTTTTAAATGAAATAAACTATCCCAAAAAGTACAAATAATAATAACAAACGCAGACGTGAATGACACTAACATTAAGAAGTTTAAAAGTTTGTTTATTATTTCACAGAGCTCTCCTATAAGGGTGTATTGCAATGCAAGGTATCGTATTTTATAATTTTTTACAGAAACTGTTCCGATAAAATTAATGTTAATTTCATGTTCTTCATTAATTTTAAAATTTTGATTACATTCCCCTGCTGTGCAACTTTTCTTATTTTCTTTACTAACAAATTGTCTGAGGTAGCTGTTAATTAACAACAATCTTTGTCTCAGCATATACATAAATTGGCAAAAGATAAGAATCTCTATTTTCCCTTCGAAATAAATTATAAAGAAAAGTATTAAATGTTCATTGCTCTCTAACCCCACAATGAAGTACTCGAATATGTATGTTACTACGAAACATAAAAAAAAGACAATGACCAATTTTTTACATTCTTTCCGCGACGCAGTGTAGTAGTTGTTATTCATAATTGTAGCATGCAGCGAAACATCAACAATGGCAAACTTTATAATAATTTTCTTATGTAGGTCCCCCTGACATGCCAGTAGAACTGTTGTCACTGCAAATTTACCTGCAATGAATATCCATGGGAAAATAACCATTACGATCTCCAAAGCTCCAAATATGTCTCTCACGTATGGATAAATGGAAAAAGCTAAGAAACATATGATCCATGTTAAAGTGATCATAACACCAAGAATTCTCGTTCGGGTATCGAAAAAAATCGAAGACCTCAGACTAACGATAATCACGCACATTTATACAAATCAATAATACACTGAATTATCTTGAAACAAAAATTAACTTTATCTTTATGTTTATGTTGTTACTGAAGATTGCCCATTCAGTCCGAAGCTTTATCGAACGCAGAACCCGTGGACTAGCCAGAACCCGCGGATTTGAGCCCTCCACAGTGGTTAGGGCCGCGCATGTGTTCATGCGTGCGTTAGGGGGCGGTGAGAACCCCATATTTTATAATACCTGTATTATGTATTAAAGTTAAATAACTAAAAATAAAAAAAACTAAAACTGAATAAATAATAAATCTGATCTTGAACCGATAACCGATTGAAAAAAAGAAAGGTTCTTGACTGGTTTGTTTTGGTCAACGCAGTGTAGGACGATAAATGTAAAAATGCGCGGAAAGTTTTAAGGGAAATAGTTGAAGTTTGGCCATTACAAACCGTTCTTTATGATATTATGTTTAATATTAATTTGAAATTATTATTAAAAATTTCTAAGCGTGGCAACAACTTATCTCATTATTATTTTACAAATAGCAAATTTTATGTAATAATGCTTTCATTTAATATTTATACATAATCGAATAGAAATAATAAAAATATAGAAATTATAACAGGATTTCATTACTTTACATTGACAAAACAAGCTATAATATGATGGAATGATTCGAATGAATACTTGGTTATTTGTGTCGCCATTTTGATTAAGAAAACCAATTTGATCGGAAAAAATTACGTAATTAAAAAAAATTAAAAACTAATCTAATTAAATCTTTACATTCCACAAATGCATGATACAAACTTGTG